AGCCGCGGTACAACGCTGATTTTCAACTTGCCTTAGCTCTGTTATTGGCAAGGTATTAAAGTTTTAACTGTTCGGTGAGAGAAATAATTTTGTACTGGACGTTTTATGTACTTGGTGTGTGTTTGTAAAATCCTTCGTGTGCTCGCGTGCGAGTACTTCCGTATAACGATTAGTGATTTAGGAATTATTTTAGAAACATGTTTCCAAGTTCCCTGTTAGTTTCAGCTTTTTTTTTATTTAACACTCATTGTAATTGAGTTTAAAGGTTTGTAAGAAGATTTTGTACTGATAACTGATTAACATATCACATTTAGAGCACACTAGTTGGCGCCAAGAATTGCTGAAATGCAATAGAACGAACTAAATAGATGTCAAGGTTTTCGCGCTGTAAGGTTATCGGCCGCTTCGCCTAGTTGGTAGAGCGTCTGGGCGCGAAACCAAAAGACGCACGTTCAAAACCCTCAGCGCCCAAGGTTTTTGTTAATTTATCCACAAAAATATTGCATACATTGGTTGTTCCAGATCCAATTGCAAATGAACATTACTTCCTGTGCTCTAAATTCAAAAATATGTACAAAAAAATTAAAAACTCATGAATATTTATTGACGGACAGCGCTGAGAAAATATTTATTTGAAAAAATAACTACTATTTTGAGAGTATGTTTAGTAAAATACTATCTTTTTACGACCTACATACTTATCGACGCAAGAAAACGTATTTGTAAGTAGCTGAATACTAACTTTTCACTAGAGCTAAAATAACTTTTTAAAATTAAAAAAAAAATCATAACTTTTTAACCATCTGTGACATTGAGATGATTTTTTGAACGTAGTTTCATTAAATTGCAATTTTAATGCAATTATAATAAATTTCTCCTAAAGTTACGAAAAGTGTGTTTTTCGCTACTTACAGCATTCTCTGACTTCTACGGGGATAGCTCATCGCTATATATTTTCCCACATCTAAAGTACTGTAACTAGATTTTTTTATGAATTGTGTAATATCAATAAAAAGATTTAATTCTAGCTAAGAAAAAGCATACTGAACCAAAAATTCTTTTGTAAATTGAAATTGCTGGATTTGTAGTACAAATAAAATGCTGCATTTTAATAATCCTTCTGGACCACAATGTTGAATTTGCAAAATGTTGAATTCTTATGAAATTCTTATTCTTAAACCAAAATATTGATTCCAAAAATGTTGAATTCGGAAAAAGTTGAAGTTGCGAGATGGTGAATCCAAACTATTAAATTGCTGGGTGTATGGTGGTATTATTGTTCTGTGTAGTATGGTACCATCTAGGACATATCGAAATGCAAAACAATAGAAAATCTAAAAACAAAAGACAGTGCTGTAACGAGACAGCGTGTAAATTTACAAACCGAAAGAACGGCGTTAGTAATTTTGTGTAGACAATTTCCTACCCCTATATCTAATCGTAAGTAATCATAGTACTCGAATTTTTATTCCATAAGCACGCTGTAAGTAATATTAGGTGCATTAAATACAAACCGTATTTTTGTTGTAACAAGAATAAAATCAAAAACGCCGTTTATCAGGAGACTTACAACAATTTGAACATTGATTTTATTCAAAAAATATAGCACTTTTTGGATGCATGACTACGAGAGCCAGACCATTCGACGCAGAAAAAAAAGCTTGTCAAAGCCTTGCTCTCAGTCTACTTACGCCATTTTTGCACTACTTACAGCAAATACGTTTTCTTGCGTCGATATATTCCAGTACCTACTTAGAAAAAGTGAATTGCCTCTCAAATATGATATATCTTTTATTATTATATATGATATATCATTTTGACCCAAAATTTAAGCTCTATCATACCGAGAATTAACGTAGTCCGTAACGTAGTTAAATTTATCTCTTAATGAATTAAGCTGGACTCAAGCTACGCTGCCAATTCGTTTTGGTGGTATCGGTGTAAAGAAAATTTCTAGTGTCGCACTACCTGCCTTACTTGCTTCCGTGCATAGCGTAAATAATTTATGTAATAACATCCTTAATTACGATTCAGAACTTTCCTATGCAGAAGAGGCAAGGATGTCTTGGCTGTCTATCTGCCCCAACGAAAATATCCCACTGGAAGTTAACCTACAAAAACAGTGGGATGTTCCTTTGGTGCGGAGAGTACAGAGAGATACGTTTCAATCTTTAGAAAGTAATTTAGAGCGTGCCCGTTTCCTAGGCGTCTCATCTAAAGAATCGAGTTATTGGCTTCACGCTTTACCATCAAGTAACTTGGGCACATTGCTTGACGATGAAAGCTTACGCATTGCTGTAGTAATCCGTCTGGGGGCACCGTTTTGTCAACCACACCATTGCCCTTGTGTCAGTGTAGACAAATTTGATCTCCACGGGCTTTCTTGTGAAAAAAGTGCTGGCCGTTTTTCTCCCGCCACGGTTCCCTGAACGACATCATCCGTAGGGCTCTTGTTTCCATCAATGTTCCATCTATTTTAGGGCCCTGTGGCATTTTTCGCGACGATGGTAAGAGACCCGACGGTTTAACATTGATCCCTTGGGAGAGAGGCAAAGCCCTTGTTTGGGACGCCACTTGTGTAGACACTTTGGCTGCCTCTCATCTAAGGGGTACTTCGGTCAGGGCCGGGGCGGCATAGGAGGCAGCTGAACTAAGTAAATGGCGCAAATATGAGTATTTATGTTTAGATTATGTATTTGTGCCATTTGCTGTTGAAACATTAGGTCCGTGGGGTCCCCGCACATCTAATTTTTTTAAAAGTTTATGTCCTAGGCTTAACGCCACGGCTGGTGACAAGAGAGCTGGTTCTTTTCTCGCTCAAAGGTTAAGCGTAACTATTCACCGAGGAAATGCAGCTAGCGTTCTTGGCACCATGCCGCGTGGATTAGGTTTATTAGATAATATCTAATTTTAGATAGATTTAATCTTGTAAATATTAGATCAATAAAAATTAAATAAAATTTAATTTATTAATCTTTTATTAAATATCTGTTTTATCTGTATAATTAAGATATGAGATTCAACAAAACATTGAAGTGTCTACTAACTTTTTTAGGACTATTGGTTTAGTCTAAAATTTTTGCGTAGCATTTTATTTATTTAATCATTCTACTTGTAACTAAGGATGTACGGTTATAAGTACATGTAAGTGTTACGTAGACAGCTGTGTGACAGAAGTAGTGCTCCATTGCTATTTAGGTTAGGTTAGGAATTCTTAAAAAAAAACTTTTCTACCTAATGAATAACGTTTCATTGTTCAACCTACATTATGTTCAATATTGTCAACAAAAATATTATCTAAAAATGGTGCTAGTGGGATGGAATTATTTATATGTTTTGCATAACTGAAAACGCTTGTCTGCCTATTTTATTTAACATAATATAAACATTATATTTTCTATACCTAGCCGAATACACTTGAAGATTACGGTCAAGTGTATTGGGAAGAGTCGATTAAAATCATGCCGTGATAGATCTGGTGAAATCTTTGATGTTATGTTGTTACGGTACTTTTAAATATATAAAAAGTATTTTAAGGTGTGCGTTTGATTCTATTATCCGCAATTAGTATAATAAAAAAGATGTAATAATAAAATTATTATGTACGTTATGTTTGTTGGTCTTATGGCGTTCCGACTGCAATATCCTTTACAAATTAAAGTTTCATTTTAAGTGCTGAAACTAGCACTAAAATTTTAAAATAAATCTTGCAAGTATTTACTTTTTGCATGTCTTTTCTTTTCTTAACCATTTGAAATAGCGGTGATTGATTTTACATGTAGCTTCTGCCATCTGTCAAGTCCAAAACCCATTATTGGTGGTAAAACTACGATGGGTAATAAAGTTAGTGGGAAAGGGGAAGAAAAGAAGGATACGGTATGCAGGAAAAGGACACAAATTTCACGGACGGTGTGAAAATGGTGGCTCGAGGATCCGAGGCCGCGTACCCGTATGTCCTGGAACAAATATCTGACAGATATTTATTTAGCTTAACTCCCTCTGAGTTATAATATTTAATCCACATTTAAAAAAAGTGCTTATCTGTAGTATCCCAATATGTAGTGTGTAATTATGTATTTAATAGTGTTTATGCTGATAATTAATTGTTTCTGTTAATTTCATAATGTTGAAAGTTTAGCCTAAAACATTGGAAAATATTGAGGATGCGTTCTCGTCGAGTAAAAATATGTGTTTTAGATCCGATTTTCAACCGACTTCAAAAACGGAGAAGATTCTCAATTCGACTGTTTCTTTTTTTTTATGTTTGTCACCTCAGAACTTTCGACTGAGTGAGCCGGTTTTGATGGTTCTTTTTTTATTTGGTGCTGGTGGTATTCGATCTTGGGCTCCGGAGATACGTACAGGGAACTCCTGAAAATCAATTACAAAATGAATACAGAGCGAGATATTTGTAGTCGGTTTTGTTTTTCATTTATAATAAAATTGACTTTTAAGTATCATGGTCTATATCAAACCAAGTTAAAATGGGAACTTGAATAAAATTTATATTATACGCACAGTAACGTGGATTAGCTTAGTGAAAATAACAAGATTCAACATTTTTCTCTAAAACTGTATGTGACCGCTGCATTCTGCATTCATAAATCTATCGAATCAATATTTTTTTAACCGCCATATTGACTGCGCAATCTGCTAGATTATTGAGTATTAGTAGTATTATGGAGAGGATCTGGAGCATCCAATACAATTAATATTCATTTTAATTTAGGCTTTTTTATATTCAGGTATTTAAGTATCATACTTGGATATAAAAAAGATCCACTCAGTCTTGTTTCCCGAATCTCAAGCCCTGTGTATTAATCTGTAACCAGGCACGACAGGCGATGCACGATTGACATGAGTGACAAATAGGTAGTGTCAATTCTCTGTACATATATGTGTGTTCGTATCTATACGCCCGTAATACTGGGAGATTTGCTGACTTGAAGAAACGCGAAATTTGCGCAAGAGCATGTTAGGAACGTGTGACGTTGTTGCAGAACCCGACGCGACATTCGACAAGGAGGCTGGGTGCGAGCACTCGCCCCGCGCCCACGTGCGCTCCCTCAGCTCAGACCCGCAGGCAACGCCCGAAGGTAAACTAATGTTATGATTTTAAGAAAGACTAGTTGGTTTACTAATAATTATGAACTTGTAGTGGAGATGATGACGATGAATGCGTAAATATGTTAACATTGAAAGCTGTTGTTGTGTTGTTGTGGACGTGGCTAAAGTTGCGATGTTGTCGATGGTCAGGGGAAACGGACAACTACCCGTCGCTGCCGGTAATCGTGACCGCGGAGGCGGAGGCGGAGGCGCCGCCGCCGGAGCCCGAGCCGGCGGAGATGCCGGTCGCCGACGTCATCAAGTCCCTCGTGCACTTCCTCGCCAACCGGCCCACGCACATGCCCCTGTGGCAGTACGAGGACATCACCGCCAAAGGTGGGCTCGCCCGGTTGTGATCGCGTGTCGCACGATAATTTCAGGGTTTTTTTTTAAATGTAAAATGTATGAACGTTATTCTGTCTAGCGCACTACTACTACTACTACTACCACCACCATAAATCAACATGAAGTGCGACTAAAAGCCTGCACGCCGCCCGACAAAGGTGAATAGTGGGACCTTGTCCTGTAAAGGCACTTTGTGCGCAGTGTGGACCCTGCGCAGTTGCCAGCAGATGGCGACGCTGGTGCGTCACGCCCTGCGCGTCTTCCGCGAGTCGCTGCCTCACGCCCTGGTGTCCGAGCGGTGGGCGCAGACGGCGCTTCAGTTGGGCCTCTCCTGCCCATCCCGCCACTACGCCGGCCGCTCGCTCCAGGTCCTACACCAACATGCACATACACACAACACACAAGCGCACGCGCGCACGCACCCCTCTGCTCTAAGACTACTCCATCGCCCTGACCATTGGGTTCTCTTATTTACGCGATATTTACTGTTTGATATTAAAATTTTAAAATACATCAACGAACTGGAAGTAGAGATAAGAGTCAACATCACTTGGAAGAAGTTCTGGAGCCTCTAGGAAATTCTAAAACCACCCATAAAGCTGAAAAGCAGAGTCTGAACACCTGACTACTCCCCTCATTTTGTAATTTTTTTTTTCAAATTGTCAACTTTTATTGTGTAGCAAGAAATATGAGGATTTTTTATTTTTATTTATTAAAATTTTAATTGTAAATATTCCTCACAATGGCCAAAAGGCATTGTTTGAAATACACTATACGCGCTGAAACTCTCATTAAATAAGTTTTCACTTAATAAATTTAATTTAACCGCTAGCCCGCCTTGGCTAACGATAACGTTGTTACAAATAAATAATTAAAGGCTTCTATTGTTCCTCCGTAATATATACTGAAAATCAGTATCGAGTTACATAAAGTAAATCCAAAAATATTGTTGGAGGGACATTAAATTCCCTTTAATATTATCGAACCATGGCTATCTTGAAGTTAGTGTAAAATCACTGCTGCTTAAGTGATTGGCTCTTTGAATCGAGTAGGTAGGTATTGGTAGTCGATAAAAGAGGTGGGTGCGCGGCGCAGGTGTTCCGTTTCATCGGCGTCGCGATGACGGGCCGCATGGTGACGGACATACTGTCACGGCTGGTGGAGACGGTGGCGGAGCAGGGCGAGGACATGCAGGGCTACGTGACCGAGCTGCTGCTCACGCTCGAGGCGGCCGTCGACTCGCTTGAGTCCAACTTCAGGCCGCTCGACTACATGCGCGACATATTCAAGTCCACGCCCAACCTGAACAACAAGGACGGCGGGCCGCAGGCGGGCAGCGCCGCGCCCTTCGTGGCGGGCAAGCGCTCGCCCGGCGTGTGCGTCGGCTGCGTGAACAACCACACGCGCAGCACCAGCTACTCGGTGTCCTACTGCGTGCGCAAGAGCGCCGCCGCGCCCTCGCCCGCCGACAAGCAGCCGCACGGTGAGCCACCGCCCCCCCCCCCCCCCCCCCGCCCCCCCCCCCCCCGCCGGACTCCCAGGGCCCGTGTGACGCGCGCACTCTCTCTTTCCAGAGCGCACGCGCCCCTGCAGCGACTCGCCCAAGGGCTGCTCCAACCTGTGCCGTTCGCGCTCCGCGCAGTCGCTGAAACTGCTCGGCGACAGCGCGTCACAGGTCAACATCGTTCACACATCTCACCAACAGAATCACATAGAAACAAATAAACTTTACATCGCGTTTAAACTAACTCCCCCATTAGGCTTCGGCCGACTGACATAATTAGTGGTTTCGCACCGTTACACTGATCCATACGTATGTCACATTTATTATAACACCGACAGTAAATTGTATGCGATAATGTGGACGTCCTCGCACGAAAGGTGTCAACCGTTGCGCAGGACGACAAACTGACTATCCTGGCGACGCTGTTCTGGGTGGGCGCGTCGCTCCTGGAGTCCGACTACGAGCACGAGTTCCTGCTGGGCGTGAGGCTGCTGGCGCGCGTCATGGCCCGCCTGCCCCTCGACAGGCCGGACGCGCGCGAGCGCCTCGACCGCACCCAGGCGCACACCTCGCCCTCGCTGCACGCGCTGCTGCTCAAGGTATGCGCCCTTAACGCGGGACGGACCAGCACCACAACGCTGAAGCCCTGAGCCCTAAACGCCCCGTCGGTGGCCTTCCAGGGCTGCACGCACCCCAACACGTACGAGCCGGTGGTGGGCGTGCTGGCCGACATGATACCGCTCCTGGAGCTGCCGGTCATCGATCCGACGCAGTCGCTCGCCTTCCCCATGACCGTGGTGGCCCTCCTGCCCTACATGCTGCTGCACTACGAGGACGCCAACGAGCTCTGCGTGCGAGCGGCCTGCCACATTGCGCAGGTACCTACGGCCGCACGCACTGACTTGTTCCTTTCTTGTTTATGATGTTTACACTCTATAATATAATTCAACTGCACTGTCAATTGCTACGATCAGTTCACAGCGGAGAAGAGCAAGAAGCTGGAGAACCTCGGAACAGTGATGACCCTCTACTCGAGACGCACTTTCAGCAAGGAGAGCTTCCAGTGGACCAAGTGCGTGGTGAAATACCTTTGGGACACCTACTCGCATCTCTCGCTGCAGATGCTTGCATTTTTGGTAGAGGTCTTGGAAAAGGTAATTCCTATGTAATGGTTGTGACGACATAACGATTTCCGACTTTCCGTCAATTTGCCTTTGATGGTCATTATTTACTACATTGTACGTATTAATTAAAAGCGTGGAAATAAAAAATCACCCTTTTTAAGGTATTTCTATTATAACTCTACTTTCACCAGTTTACTGTATATACTGTCATTAAAATATAACAATTGACTCTTAGCACCACGTGTCCTTCTAAAACATTTTTTTTTTCACACTATTCATAATTTAATTTATTGAAAATTACTCTCTACTTTTTATTTCTGTTATCTACAAAAGCGTGTATTTCAGTGTTTCTTTTTGGACTTTATCTTACAATAAAAAAAAATAGGCGCCATTTCGTATTTATGTCGAGGGCAGCTCGTACAGTCCGGCATGTGTGGATGTGACGTGACATACGGTGTCGTTGTATAGAGCGCGTGGGCCCGTGCCGCTTTGCAGGGTGCCGTGAGCATGCAGCTGCCGGTGCTCTCGATCCTGCACTGCATGCTGCACTACGTGGAGCTGAACGCGCCCTCGGCGCAGCCGCTCAACGCGGACCTCCTGCGCGCCGTCGCCAAGTTCATAGACGTCAGTATACCACTTGTGTCTTATGATATTATATTCGACCGCAGTGGACAATTATATACAGGGGGGCTTTTCTAAAGGTGCCCAAATTCACACAGGAGGTTCGGACTCGGTAGTACTAACCGTTTACTGAAATAGAAACAAAATTTATGAAATAAAAAAAATTGCAATTCCATTCCCTAAAAAATTGAACTTGTTGACAATGCGATACTCATTCATAAATGCGTCGTATATTTATGTCTAGAATTTAATAAAAAACTGTTTGAATTTTGGTTCGGAAAGTCCTGCAAAATGCGTTTATCCTACAGCAGCAAGACGGGAACAACTACAAGGAGGCGATGAAAATCCTGAAGCTGGTGGTGACGCGGTGCTCCACGCTGGTGGTGCCCCCGCATTGGGACAGCCACGCCTCATCGATACTCGACACGGAACTCCACGGCAAAAAGGTATCATGCGCGGACCCATTTCACTTCCTTGCATCGTACGCTAACAACCGTTTTACGATATTCCGTGCACATAAAAGTATTTAATTTTCATTTCTATGTTCGTCTGCACACTTGAGATGGAAGACGCAGATCCGAATCCCTACGGCGAAAATAATCTGCCCAATTTTGTGTACACGTATTAAGTTTAAAAACATCTGCTACGTTCGGAATTCCGTGTCACGCGTAGGTAATCCAATTGCACTGGTGCACACCGAACCGCGTTCCGCGTACGGCGGCCGCATTCCCAAATTGAATTAAATTAGCATCCCGGTTCCGGGAGCTCGCCGCCCCGGGCGGAGCTCGGCCGCGGAACTTCCCGCGGACTTTTCCGGGAAATTCAATCAAAGAGCGAGCGCTCGCTCCCCGTACTTTAATGTTATTCGAAGCATTGCTCGAATGATTTATTGTTTTCCATGTTCATATCAAGTGAATTAACCGACACTAATTTTTTTCCCGCCGTTTGTTTTCTTCGATGCCTGTCGTTGGTTTAAGCCGCTCCTCAATGTGCCGTATTATTCCAGGAGCTGCCCGGGCGCACCATGGACTTCACCTTCGACCTGTCCCAGACGCCCGTCATCGGGCGCAAGTACCTGCCCAAGGGAGGCAGCCAGCCGGCCACGGGGCCCAGCTCCCTCTCGAACGCGTCCAGCGCCACGCCCGACAGAGGTCAACCAACAATCGACCTTACTGTGATCGGCCGTAGTAGAACTGCTGTACCGCACGCCCCAAAACCACTAAAAATAGTAACGCGTCGGTAAAATTCCACGATTCATGGATAAAACTATAATGTAACAATTTTTACGGGAGAAACATGTTCTCGTTCCATGGTGAAGATGAGCACATACAGTCTAACGCCGCAGCAAAGCAAAGTGGGCTTCGGCCGAAAGGTGACAGGCGTGCCCGTAACGGCACACTAGTAACCCAGTTGGGGCTGGGCGAACCGAATCGATTATGTCCACCATGCAAACACGGCGCCCCACTTAAAGTGCAATGGCCCATGTGTACTCAATAATTGTTATGTTATGTGATTTTCGCAAAAATTATTTTCAGTACATAATATTGAATGAAACAATAATGCAAACATACCTACATGACTTTAGGTTTTTTTAGGGTTCCGTACCCAAAGGGTAAAACGGGTCGCTGTTACTAAAACTGCTGTTTGTCTGTTTGGCTGTCATCGGGCTGTTGAAATTTTCGCAGATGATGTATTTCTGTTGTAACAACAAATATTAAAAAAAAAGAATAAAAAATAAGTGCGGTTCCCATACAATAGACATGGTTTTTTACGAGTTTCAATAGATAGTGGTACGGAAACCTATTTTTTATTCATTGCTTGTATAACGATTTCTAATAGTTATGTTCTGACTGTTTGGTCGAAAATGATTTATTTATAAATAACAATCATAAATTCCCATTTTCTTTTTTGAAAATGACCTCAAAACAGTAAAAATCGATGATATTCTTTATCTGTGTATTTATTTGTAATATAAACTAACAATAGGAATAACAAATATTATTCAATATTTGTTTCAACAATTTTTTTTTTATATATACTTTGCAATATAAAAATTCTCAAATTAGACTTATCTATGATTATCGTCGTGAACTATAAATCCAACTAGAAAAGCAACTGTTTCATTTATTGTCTTAGTATAAAGTACGTTTTTCTTAAGGCATATAAGTCTTAATTGGTGGATCACAAAGAAAGTGTATGTGGGCGCATCTTTGTTTGTATGTCGCGACCTGTAGAATATGGTCGATGGCGATGGCAATTGAAGGGAATAATTGTGTAATTGTGTAATTGTGTGGGCAGGCTCCTCGAGTTCCGGCTCCGCGTCCACCGTGGTGGGCCAGGGGGCGGGGGGCCCCCCCGCCGCCGCCGGCCATCCGCAGAGCGCCGCCTCCCCGCGCCGCTCCCTCTCCCTCTCCCCCGCGGACGCCCTCGCCTCCGGATGGAAGCGGCCCTGGATGTCGCAGGTGTGCACCGCTCAATATATAATAATACATAACGTACAACTCTAATCCATACAAATATACGATTGCGTTTTTTTTATTTTTGTAAGAAGGTATCAATCCGAGGTTAAATGATAACCGCCGCCCATTTACATTTGCAACAACAGTGGGGTTGCGAATGCTTTGCCATCTTTAAAACAAAGCGGGGTCCGGTTACAACGCTCACCAGATGAAACGCAGGGAGGTCCTCCCGAGGGCCCATCTCAAAATCTACTACTACCACCAGCAAGAAAGTCACAAATTGAAGCGTGTAACGGCCATTGGTCCACAGAGCCGGGTGCGCGAGTGCCTCGTGAACCTGCTGACCACGTGCGGCCAGCGAGTGGGCCTGCCCAAGAGCCCCTCCGTAAGTTAACGCCACCATTTGCTCTCAATGTTGCAATATACAATCTTAACGAACACTGAACTGAAGTTCTAACGTGTATTGTATGTGCATAGCACGAGTGTGTCATACATTGTTAAATGTGCGAATAGAATGCTGCCTCCGTTTGCCACAACACAACTGTGAAATAATACGTGTGAAATTTCTATCCATCGCTGCGTATAGGACGATTTAATAACCACTTTGTGTTCCAAGGTAACTGCCGCAACTTACCTACTGTAATTATTATGTCGCATTCGCTTTCACGCACACACGAACACTACTGCATATGCTAAGATACGTCGGTGCTCGCCATAGATGCGTCATAGATGCGTGACATCGGCACCTATTACACCGATGTCTGTCCGTGTGTCACGGGCGTGTGGCCCCCTTTCTCCCGCATCAGTTTGGCACAATGGTCGCGTGGGCCCTGACGGGAGACCCCTTGTTCGCCTCCAAGCCTCCACGGTCGGACCCTACGTGCGCGTATGCGTACTGCATCGTACCGTATCTGTCGCCGCGACCACCCACCGCTCAGAACACCCCATCGGCAGGCGCCCGCCATCTCATCGTACTTTTTCTTCGACCGTTTCGATTCATGGTTTCGTTCGCTTATTTTGCTTCCGTACATTATTATTATTTTTCTTAAGTAAAAGCAAGCGCTTTTCGGTTGATCAAGTAATATAATACAATTGAAAGTGAAAAAAAAAAAACCCGAGTGTTGTTTAATATAATATTAGTGGAACAACATTCAGCAACACTGAATGGCATCCGGATCCCGATCAGAATGAAGTTGTAGATGAAGTCTCGAGTAGTTAGTTATGGTCAATAACATCCTTCCCCCCCCCCCCCCCCCCCCCCCCCCCCCACTCGCCACTCGCTTATTGACGCAGTCGTCTATCTCATAGTACTTTAACATACATCGATATACTTTGTCGTTGTTGTTGTTGTTGTTTATGTTCACATAGTATTGAGGTTATTAAGTGTTAGTATGTTTTTACGTTATTTTTAATCCCTTGTGAGTACCCAGTCAGTGTCGAGTAGGAGTATTTTCCGAATTGTTTGTAGAACTTACAATGTACGAATGTCATTTAGATCCGCTTACCTCAGCCTATCAGTGACGAGAACGCTAAAAGTCGACCGGTCGCTGACGTTGAACCGTTCCGCTCGTGCGGCGTCGACAGGTGATATTCAGCCAGAGCTCGGAGCTTTTGGAGCGGGAGTCGTCGATGGCGTCCTCACTGGAGGAGGTGTCCGGCACGCCGGGCAACGAGCCGTCGGCCGGCGCCCCGCCCACCGACCACTTCGGCGTCTTCAAGGACTTCGACTTCCTCGAGTACGAGAGCGAGAGCATCGAGGTGACCGCACAATTGTATATATCATCTTTGAGACACCAATCGAGCGACGCCCGATACCGAGGAAAGGATAAAGCAACCGTGTTATGATTTTATGTTCTATTTTTATTCGTGTCGTCGCGGGCTATGATGAAATTCGATCAATTAGTAAAACTAATAGCAAAGCGATAGTCTGTGTAGATTTTAGATTTAGTTTATATACCATACGCATATTTAAAATGTGTTTGGAATAATATTTAATGTATCAAGGAAATAAAAAATAATTTTGAGGGCGTTGTTTAGTTAGATTTCGAGGTAAACTCGTGCGCCGTGCATTCGACGGTGGAACAATATTGGTCCAGTTCTGGCAACGTTCCGATTAGGCACAGCGGTAGTAGTAGCGAAAGGGCGTTGTGTTGTGTTCGTAGGGCGAGAGCTCGGACAACTTCAACTGGGGCGTGCGCCGGCGGCTGCCGAGCGAGGAGCGCCCCGAGGGGGGCGCCACCGAGCGCAGCCCGCCGCCGCAGCGCTCCCGCCACCACGAGCCCCACCACGACTCGCACCACGAAACGCACCACGCCACCAAGCCGGTGCGTATCCATCGCTCCTGCGCAGTTCTTTTTTTTTTAAATTAATATTAACAATTTGAATAATTTTTATTCAATATCAAACGTTAATAAATAGTAATCAAATCATTTCACATCACATTTCCTCTTTAATGAACGTTATATATAATGGATATGTATTTTTGTTTTGTTTAAACGTTAAACCACTCCCCTTCCTCTGTTTTTGTGCCTTGTGACCTGTCCATTTAGCTGCGTTGCGTGTCGTTACCGATGTGCAGTTGGGGCACGAGGACTCCTCGGACGAGGAGGGCGGCTGGTACGAGCCGGCGGGTGGTTCGCGCGGCGAGGGCGAGCCGGGCGCCGCCCCCGACACGGCGCTCCGCCCCCGCGGCCACTCCTTCTCGAGCGCCTCCAGCGGCGAGCCGCACCGTGAGCCGTCGTTTGCGTTCAACCTCGCGTAGCGAACGTGCTAATGGGCAGAACCTCACCGGTGCGATCGCTTGCAGCCGAGCGCGGGGACGTGACGCCCGTGCCGGGAGCGGGGGGCGCGGCGGGTGCGGGGGGCGCGGGGGGCGCGGGGGGCGCGACGAGCGCGGCCGTGCGCGACGCGTGGCGCTGCTCCGTGGCGGCGCTGCTCCGGCACGCCACCCACCTGCCGCCCCTCACTCTGGTGCACCGCTTGCACACCGTCCTCAAGGTGCGGCCGGCCGTCTTCGTGTTCTGTTTCATTTGTAATTTCCCTGCAAGAGTTAGTCCCTCTTGAGGGTAATGTCCATGCTCCAGGCTCTTTCGATCAGAGTTCTTATATTGTATTTGTAATGAATTCATGTCGAACTGTTTATTGCCCGTCGAGTTTCTTTCGCCGATTCTTCTCAGTACAGTGGCTTCTGAACCGGTAGTAGTATTTTGATGTTAAGTAAAGTTATTTCATTTGATTCGATTCGTCCAATGGTGCAGGAGGTGACCTGCAAGACGGTGGCGGTGTGCGGCGAGAGCGCGCTCGGCGGCGGTGGCGGCGGGGGCGGTGCGGGCGAGCTGGCCGCCGTGGTGGAGCGGCTGGCGGGGGAGGAGCCGCCCCTGCTGTGGGCGGGGCCCGCGGCCGCGGACTGTGCGCGGGTACGCGACGCGGTGCGCTTCGCCGCCCTCGAGATCAACGAGCATCTCGAGACCTACTTCGACCGCCGTGAGCACGCCCTCGAGGTACCCGTCCGTGGCGCTTTAATAATCTTCAAATATATTTTTTTCCTGTATTAAACAAAAATATAATGTAAAAACGAAACAATATTACTATTTAAATATTTAGCATTTCATTTTACATGTGCTATCATTAGATGTTGGAGATATCCCGTGGCGGAGAGGAGACCATCCGTAGCCTGTACAAGCTCATCTTCCAGCTGCTCTTATTGCTGGAGACCAACAACAAGCTCGTGGTGGCGGTGTACCATGCCGCCCTCGATAATAGGGTAAGCGGCGAATACTACAATACGAGTTACTTAATTACATAATAATATAAACGTAATAATATAAACTTTATTGTTTTGTAAGTATAATATTGTATAATTAACATACAATATGATGCAAACGCATTAGTTAAGTGGAACCGTCGTGTCATGACACTCGCATTTGTTAAACTCGTTTAAATATACCCGGATAATACTGTGAACTAATTTGTATGTTAAAAGAAAATTTAAAAAAGAAAGTCCATTAGTGCTCCATACGATGTATAGGCTTACACTTTACCGTAACGTTTTAGGGCGTGGAGATGAGCGGCGCCGTGTGCGCGGTGCGCAGCGCCCTCGTCGCCAGCTGCGGCGACTCGTGGCCGGAGCTCGGCGAGCAGCAGCTGGACAAGCAGCCCCACGACGACGCCAGGCTCACGCACCTGATGCAGCGCCAGAGGTGCACCCACCGTCCGCTGCACTCGCCCAAAATACGGCTATCAGCCATGCCTTTACCAATTGATTGTTTGCGAATGATCCTTTATTGTCAAGCAAGCAGTTGGTTATATGTTAGACGATCACCGCCACCCATGGACATCAAAGAAACTATATACACATATTAAACGCGAAAGTATAATACCTTCACTTCGACACTGGCCTTGTGTGGCAGCGATATTTCTCGATAAATCTTGAAATGATCTACGGACTAAAAACCACTAATATAAGTCGTAGCACCCTCGTTAAACTACCGCGATGACCGTCCCCGCGGTCACTGGATGCAGATTACTGTAATAAGGTCGCATAAAAGCTGTTTTATTAAAATGCGCCGCCCGGTGGCTCCCGCGGCCTCTAGATGGGCGACCGCACTGGCGCTCGTCCGCGAGCGCAATGCGGAACGTATCCTGGAGCGAGGCGAGTTGCCCGAGGACGACATCACCAGCCTCCTTCACGTGTACTGCAAGGGCCTGGCGCAGGCGCATCCGGGTAAAACTTATACGCAGCTCGGTAAAATTTGGACAAAACACTATCACAAAGTGGTAACACTGTTATATGCTTGATGAGATAGGTGTAGGTAAAACAAATATTTATAGTGAATATGACTCAAACAGAGTCTTTCAAAAGTTAGAGTATGAATGATCGAGGTACCTATTAAACACAATAAAATTAAATTAGTCAGTACATTACTTAAAATGCGAAAAAACAATTTAGATAAAAGACATTAAGGTTTTCGTCGGTGTGGCAATCGCCCGTTTATTTCAGTGGTTAAAGCAAATCTGGAGGCGAGGCATCGAATACTGCGGCGTAAATAATTTAGTCTTTTTTTCTACAAATTTTAAGTTTTCATCTTAAGTGCAGAAATTACCACTATAAAAATTTAAAGATTCAATAAATTGAAAGTACTTTTTTATTACTTAAAATTTTTGTTTTTATCTATTAATCCAATTTTTAATTTCGGTTGCTTCAGAGAGATCTTTATTAATACTAAGAATATAGTTATCAATATCCTCATGACACGGCGCCATCTTTTGATAGCGCCAACTGTAATTGGATACAAGTTTGCTGGATTTTATTTTTGGATAAAGTAAATAAATAAAATATTGATTATTTTATAATTTTCACTCACTATTCTTTTAATCATTCAGAGCAAAGACATAGTGTCTTTGCTCTGAATGATTTCGATTCTTGTACCTTTTAGCTAATTATTAACGTCAAGGCACTAGTAAAATATTAAAAGTCTTAAACAAAGCTTAAAAAATAAATTCAACTAAGTCTTTGCTGTGTTGTCAATGACAGTCGTGCATTATTGGTCTTCATGTTACTTTTTGTTTGTGATAATTTTCTTAAAATTGTTTTGCATTTAAACAACGCCATCTGTTGTTGATCGATGGAACTATACGGAAAGTGCAAGCATCATAGTATTATCAAATGTATGGACTGAATGTTGCTTATATGGTTTTATTGAGTGTTCGACATTGATGGAAGTGATTTGTGTTGACCAGAAATGGTGGCGATCACGCGGCCGGTGAACGAGCTGTCCCAGAACCTGTCCTTCATGATGGAGAGCCTCTACAAGGCCTCGGTGGCCCTCCAGAGGCAGGAGTACTGAGGCAGCCATCGTAGCTTCGCGAAACCATCCGCGCACCCTTTACTGGATACCGGCTTATTATAACTCATTGATTATTCCTCACTATGAATGTATCTTCAAAAGAACACTTGTTTGCTGTGCGACTACGGCATGTGTGCAGTTAAAGAAATAATATCATGTTTTTTATTATACATATTTTGATGTTATAATTATATTACATTTGAATTTCTACATATGAAATACCTACAACATTTTTTGTCATCTCAAAAGGCTTCTTATACGCCAAATAATAGAAAATATAGTTAAATAATTATATTAGCTTATATGCGTGTACCTCTCTCTTTTATGAGACTGTTCGCTTTCAAGCGCATATTATCTGCTAGGTGATTAAAAGCATTCTGTATTTAAGTGTACATTAGGAATTAGATCTGGTGCGAACTTATTCGATGCATCTTTTATTGCAAAGCGATGTGTTTCTGTTTCAAATCAACCGCAATATTCGTGTGTGATGTCGTAATTGGGTGCGTCGTTGACGCCGCGACTAAATGCAGGGGCTCTCCTGTGTCGGCGGTTCGGACTCCACTCCCCACTGGGCGATCGATGTCCAACGCCGCCGGCCGCTGGGCGTTCCCTCGTTTCTTCACCTTCTAATACTCTAACAGCAGCGCTCCGTCGTGTCGCTATAGCAGATATCTATATATACCAGACGGGCGTTCGTGGAGATATTTCTTTTCCGAACAGTGCGTGCTATAACTGATCTCAGCTGGGACCTCGCGAGTCGTGCGGCATGTGACGAACGCAGAGTCCTAGGAGAAACCGGGACGCACTTTCACTCTAACCCGTTAGACAATCACATATTGTAGTGAATTATACCCATTTATTTCGGTCGATGCTATTATAGGATGGTATTTGTGCATCGCTTCGATGTGATTGCTTTGTAAAATAACTGGTTCGCGATAACACGTCACGTGTTCTAAATTTAAAAGAATTCAATTGAGACCAATTCTATTCATTTAGATTGTCGTTCTGCTTATTTCCTCTTATTATTTCTTTTTGCCAAAGTTTTGTCATCTTTATTTTCCCCTCAGTCTTCTCTTGTCACTTTCCCACTAGCTAATAGAAAATCTTTGTCCCTATATTAATTGTATATTTTAAGCCTTGGAGCCTCCTTTTAGAGATCTTTTAATTTGTGTGCGTAGACCCTCCGCCGCGCGTAATAAGCCAAATATTTGATTTCTAAATATTAGTGTTAATTGACGGGCCAGTGTTGCTGGAAAGCGCCCGAACTGCTTGTTTCGCATATTAATATCAATTAGTAGGTAATGTGTTTTTAAGGTACATTTCGATTAGCCATCAATATAATATGTCGCCATTGCTAAAGCCCCTAGAAACACGAGCGCACTCCACATTCGCCTACCACGTATTTACCGAGGCCCTAAACGGAGCGTTCAAACCTCCCGACGTACAAAAAAAAGTCACGTCTACAATATCTAACACCTATTGCCACCGCCTCTTTCGTCGCGGCTGTTGCTAGTGTGCGTACGTAGCGTGCCGTATGCCTACCGCCTCGTTTTTCATTTTTCAATTGAACAACTAACGCATAATCCTTACTTTTAGTCTGTGTACTCAACAATGTTTTTGTGATATTATTTTCATTATTTTTTTGTAACAATTAATGACAATATTTATTTTTAGCTTAATATTCAATGTCCGCGCTTACGACCGCGCCACTGTGTCATCTTTAATGAACTAGAGATTTATTAATAGTTACTAATGTTTGTATCCAGTTGTAAATCTATTTAATTTTAATGAAAAATAAAGAAACACTTTCAATTGTTTGTTTTATTATACTCCTTCACAAATACTATGTACTTAGTTTCAGTTAACAAAAATTGTAACAAAAATGTTAAATTAACAAAAAGCTTATTCAGGCTAGCTAATTGCTTTATTCTGTTCACCATTAGTTGCTAGTTAACAATAACAATTGTCTCTAGATCTAAGAACGCTTTATCGCGTATAACATTAATACATGTCAGAGAATTAGGATCGTGTATCTCTAAAGCGATAGTATTATCAATTGAATACATATTAATTAACACATCGAAGGGGAAGCCTTCAATACATCGTGTTCGCGCCCATAGAATGCTACAGTACTGTCGCGTTCTATGTGTACACACACACACACACACACACACACACACACACATGTATCAGATTCCCCTATCAAAATGGCCGGTTATTGATCATAACCGGCTGGAGCATGCGCGTCGAGTCTAGTCCCTGTCCTTCCCTCGTGTCTCGAATTATCTAGACCAAAATTGCGTCATCACTAATTGATTATTTCAATACATTATGCAAAGTTTAACAAAAATTAATTATTTAGCATTACATATTTTTCGACGTGAACTATTAATATGAAAGTAAAGATTCTACTATACTCATTTATTATATATTTTATTGAACTATTAATATGAAATAAATGAGTTTATACTCATTAATTTCATATTAAATCCCCTAAAAGTGGTATCTATGTACGACCTTCAAAGAAAGTCTCTCTCTAACTTGAAGACGAGCAACGCTTTAATATTGTTTGTATGTATGTATATACTTTAATATTGGCGTAGTAAGGAACATAATTAAGTTTTGCGATTACATGAATATGTATTTTTTAAATGAATAGGATTTTAGAGGTGGAAAACAGGTACTCTGCGTCACCATAAAAAGAAAAATATTATTTTATATATAAATTTCTCGTGTCACGGTGTTTGTAATTGAACGCCTTCGAAAACGCTCGACCAATTTTAGTGAAATTTTGTGTGCATATCGCCAGGGTGGAGAATCGGACATCTATTTTTCAACCCCCTAAATGTTAAGGGCGGTCCACCCCAAACATTTTTTTCTACCCTACAAATAATTTATATGGCAAAACAACGTTTGCCGGGTCAGCTAGTAGTTTTATATAATTTACATAATTTTTCGTGTCATTATCGATTGTCCACACCCATTGCGCTATTACCAGGAGTTTCGCAATAACATGGGGGCTAGCGTGCTTGGTGATTTGGGTAATTATGTTTGAAGCCATCTTTTACCGCACAGATGACTCATTGGTCCAAGTGGTCAGTGCCAAATACCCCGGTGCGACGCATTCCATTGCGGTAATCACGGGGGACAAAAAATGTCATGGTGGTAAATAATTGCTAATAGCGCAGGATTGTTGCCTACGGCGTGGAAAGATTTCTTTACAAAAATAAGTGTAATAAGAAAATATTACGAGACGCATAATAACATATATTTGATAATTTACAATTCAAACTTGAAAAACAAAATCCCTTTTGTTCCCGCTAATACTGATCCAATCCTCCGACAACATATCGCAAATGAGCATCCAAGGCGTTTTGATTTTTATTTTAATCAATGTAACCAATTTCACATTACATCTTAATTGCGGTTTAACTCTGTTTATGAAAAAAATAGACTGCTGACCTGCTATTAACCTAAAATAGACACGTGGAATGAAAATAATTGAATTTGTGTAAAGCCCTCATATTAACCTAAAATAGACACGATCGAACGAGGGGTCGGACGGCCGCCTAGGCAACCGGTGCCTAGGAAACGACTATTATTATTAGCTGCGCTCGCAGCAAATCAATATCGAGGCTAAAGTAGGGGTCCGGGCCAACGTCTAGGGCGCATGCCCGCTGCGCGCCACCCCGATCCTCGCTTCCTTTGTGACTAAATTAAATCCTTTGTCTGCATCTCATTGTTTGGCCGCACTAATATTGTTCCAATCAGACATGACATGATCACGATGATAGATAATAGATTATTTTCCTCACCGGCAACATACCTATAAGGGTTGGGGTTAATGAATTTTAATTCCTAGGCCCCACAACTGATTCTGATTTCGTGGACCTAGTTTCAGATTTAAAGAAGCGACAGAGGTTGATCGCAAAAATATCACAATCATTTTTAAGTAAACAAAATGTTCCTAAAATAAAATATTCTCTTAGGTATAAAGAGCTTAGTTCTATTCTTATGGATTACTTCGCGTATACCATTTTTTACCATTTTAGCATTTTTTTTTTTTTTTTTTTTTTTTTTTTTTTTTTTTTTTTTTTTTTTTTTTTTGGGCTGGATGAGCCACTGTTGCCTTTACAGATCCGACGGACTTGAGGTGGCCTGGCGCACGAGGCGCCTAGCCTGAACCTCGGCGTACTATTATTACGATTTTAGCATTATTTGGCTCTATCTAATATATAAAATTCTCGTGTCACGGGGTTCGAACTTGAACTCCTCCGAAACGGCTCGACCGATTTTTACCAAATTTTATATGCGTATTCAGTAGGTCTGAGAATCGGCTACTATCTATTTTTCGTCCCCCTAAATGTTAAGGGGGTAGTCCACCCCTAATTTTTTTTTTTTTTTTTATATAAAACTTTTGTTTCTATTTTTTTATGACACAGCATACAAAAATACATACAACCCTAAATTTTCACCCCTCTACGCAGACGTAGTCGCGGGCAGCAGCTAGTATCTTATAAAACTACGTAAGGTCCCACGTATATTAATTTTCCTGACATAGTACTTAATAAAAAAACAGTATCTCCATCTGAATACTTTTGGAATTTTAAGATATATTTATTAACTAAAACTCTAGTAACTGTACTAGTTTTAAAGGCTAAGTTTCTACAAATTTACTTAAGTCACATTGTATAGTAAGTATTTATACTTAACCGTCAGCATCTCTATCTGAAGGACCTATTGAGTGCATATAAATTGTTACAAAAGCAGACGTGGCGAAGGCAAACATAGTATGTTAAAAATAAAGAAAATGCAAAAATATCTGGCATACCAAAATAAGAAATGTAATTAAAGCTATGCATGTACTAAAATATGCTCAAAAACTAAAAATTGATGGAAAAATTTGATGGGATGGCCATACAGACGACAGATCCACATATACACATCCACTGTAACCCCCCAAGGAAAAAGACGCATAGGCAAACCATACACACGATGGGAAGATGACATAAAGAAGGTAGCAGGACCACACTGGATAAGAACTGCTAAACATAGCTAGGAGGAGGGTGCGTTTCAGAAAATTTAGATTTTTTTTTTCTTTTGTCTTGTATACGCTTCTATAAAAATCACATTCTAAATAAATAAACGAAAAAAAGAACAACTCACCACTACTAACTAGAAATTCAATGTAAAATCAATTGCATGAAATAAAAATGCTTTTTATTTTATTTTATTTACTTCGATGGTTGTTCCTGTTGACCTAAATTTGTCAATATTGGTTAAAAGCAAGGTCTTACAGCAGAATAAAGGAAAAACTCCCAAAAATAAAAAAAATGTGTGCGTGTACTAGCGTACACTCGTAAGAAGTGAAACTTTTTTATGACGTCATTTTTCAAAAAATAATTTACTATATGCAACTTTACAGAAATTGGTTAAATAAAGTTAAATTAGATAAAGTTTAATAAAAGCAAAAGGCTTATTTATTATCATAGACATAAATACAAATTCTACAATTATTTCATTTTAGCTTTGTATAATATTTAGTTTCTTATTTGTAATACATAGGTGGCGTTAGTAATAAATGAAACACACTATGGTTTGACCTACAACGGTCTTGCAACTTAAAAAACTTGCAACGTGAACCTTGTTTATTTCAATTAACCTCACGGACCCAAAATACAACCGCTTTGAATTTGTACATGGTCCTTCGTTGCCGAATAGTCAGCCAGTGAGTAGAAGGCAGACATTCGACTCGCGCGCGAGTGTTGTGAGTGAAGTTTTTTTGGAAAACCGAACTTGCGGACGTTGGATCGACGTCGCAACCGCAAGTTCCAGGAGCCGATCGAGGTTTCGACGAGCATCATCGGTCAGCTTCAGATTGTGTCTTCGGTGGAAGGCGCAGTCAGGTCACGGTGGGCGGTGCCTGCCTTTGGAGAAGAGGAAGTCGACACAGTGTCGTGCTCTGAAGTATTAGAGCTAGCACTGTCATTACTACAAAGATTATTATTGAATTTCATTAATTGTAATAGAATTATTACTATCATTGATGTCGTTATTATATATTTGTGTTATTAATGGCTTATGGTAACTGAAATACGAAATATATTGTTTACATTTTAGAATTAGAATTAAAATAAACCCTTTGATTTTGCAGATCACTTTAATATAACATATATATATATATATATATTGCTATGAACACACAAAGGAACTAACGCCATCTAGCGTCAACTATTAAAATCACTAAAGAATAAAGACTACATAAAACCCCCTATTCAACACTAGATGGCGTTAGAGGAACATTTTAAGATAAAACAAAGATGCCGCGTAACGCAAAAATGTTACACAAAATTTTTTTCCAACCCCGATAAAGAAGTTTCACTTCAATAAACATAGATAGATCATAGATATAAATATTATATATAATACATAAATAAATACGACCCAACCAGACGGAAGCCCTCGGCAGGGGAGACCAAACGGCCGAGGGGTTACGGCGAAAGGGAGAGAAACTGGCGGACGATACGGGCGGTATCGAGGAGCACCGCTTTCTGCATTTGAGCTTGGCGCGATCCGTCCCGGAGTCCCAGTTGCCTCAGATGTTCGGAGAGGCTGACTGGGATCAACCCATTTGCAGAAACGACTATCGGGATAATTTCGGTAGACACACCACCCCACATGTCGATCACCTCGTGAGCCATGTCCAGATATTTCGTCTTCTTATCTGTTTCGGCTTTCGCAAGGTTCGGAAACATCGTGTGCGTAACTAGGTGACCATTCAGGTTGATGAGTAGGAAAGGGGCAGACTGCAAAACACATACATTGTAATTCAATCATAATGTATACGGGGTGGTGTATGTGTTCTCGTTAACGAATAACACAGTCGACGGTAGTTAATTCCGCGGTCCCCATCCCAGAGCCTCAAGGATTAAAGCCGAGAATCTCTTAAATTCGGTTTTAAAATCAGATTTTTTTTTCGTAGTGAGCCGAACTCAGTTTGCCTGCGGCTTAGACCACTGGGGAAAAGACTCGTCCGGCTCAATATTGGCAATATTGTGATGCCGATGAGCCCTTTCATGTATCAGAGAAAGTGAGGCTGTTGAGAACTCATTTAATATCGCCTCTAGAATACACATATATAAATAAAAATGAGGTGGGCAGGAAGCGTTTCCAACAGTCGATTCGAGATTGAAACAGGGTTGGATGTTAGGATGGACATTCCGTCACAATTTTTACCAGAAGCATAGGAGGCACTGTGTAGACTTTCTCTGATTTAAGGTCTCTCGCCAACTGCAAGAAGACAGTGTGTAATGGCAAGATATCTTCCATCAGTGTCTCATATTATCTTTTCCCTTAGCTCCTGCATGCGCTCTTATAACCTCTTTTTGCACTTTCGGAGCGGCGCATTTTGGCACTGAAACTTTTTTGAACTTCATTAAGTACGTTTATCGTACGTTTAATTATAATTAAATACAAAATAAAAAATTTTTAAATATTCTAACGACCGGTTTTTGAAACACTGATCATCATAGAATTTAACTAATCAGCTGCAACTAACTAATCAAAACTCAAATAGCTATTCAATTGTTATTTAAATTGCCAAAAAGATGGTTAAACACTCTGATTTGATCAGAATTATCAATTCAAAGAATTTAAACATCCTTTTACCAACTCAAATGACATTTGAAAAGCCATTTGACACCTGATTATTTGACGTCTACGATCATCAGTGTTTCAGAAACCGTTTTCATTCAAGTTTTACATTCTTTGAAGTCAATTTTAATCGCAAAAGTTTTCCTTTTCTTATTTTTTTTACTTTAGTACTATTATTTTCATGAAAATTCAAAAAAATACATAAAATTAAACATTGCAAAATAGACATGTATTGGCAGAATGCTCCCTACTGTAGCTTTAAAAAGTATTGTCCAAAATGAACGCTTTTCCGCTTTTGTCTCACTAGCTCCACTGTTCATAATTCATATCGATTTTCAGCGTATTGGCGGTGGGTCGCTAATACGTTTTTGATTTGAATAAATCACGAAATATAAAATTAGAAGTATAGTGTGCGATTTTTTATTCGTAAACGGGTAAATTGGCCATGCGGTTGATTTAAATTTTTGATTTTCGTTCATGTCATCAAAAATGATGGAGACCCGTTACTATGAGGGGTGCGGACGCGAAGGTCCAATACGATGCATATTTCTTGGAGAGTTTCATCCCATTGCTGGCCCTAAAATAGCATGTCAGGTATGTAAACTTGTATTATTAATTTATACTTTCGTACTATTGATTTCACTTGAGTCCAACTTTATTGGTCTAGAGTGGTAGCAAATTCTCGAATGACTTGAGGTGCATAACTAATAGTAACATAATTTGTAAAATATTAAAATAATTGATGATGATGATGATGATGATGATGATGACTATTCTATGATGACTATTACTTTTAAGACTAATATGTCTAGAATAACAATAAAATACATTAGCTTCTGCCACTACCTTCACTTATTTAACTTTATTGGAATATAAAGTAAAAAGTACCCCATTAAACATTACAAGACATTTGCTAGAACTATGTCCACTTTTTATAAGTTTCTCAATGAATCTAACAAGCCCTCAGATGTTGCAGATGTCTATGGGCAGCAGTAATCACTTAACATCAGGAGAAATACATGCTCGCTTAACATCTCACATAAAAGAAAACTATGATATATATATTAATAAATATATATATTATTAAATTAAAGAATTCATTATCATATCTTATTGCAAAATCTTTGATTTATAAAAAAGGTAACATGAAAATAGAAAGTACTAATGATATAATCATTAGAAACAATAATATGATTAAATGCTACTGTATTAACCGGAAATATAGTTATTTTATATTCAGAACTGTAAATCTTCAAATCACCCAGTGATTCACTAATCTAGCCAGTGGTTATTGTTTGGGCACATTACTTTATTTCCAACACCACTGATGGTGGTTAAAAAGAACAACTATGATTTAAAACAAATATAGGAATAGTTCTTTTTGTTATACATAATACAAAAACATATCTCATCAACAAAATTTATTTTCTACTAAAAGTATGCAGTATGTATATGGTACTAATTGAATTGTACTTTTGAAGGGCTTTTAGTACAGTTGAATAGAGTATCTTGTAGGTCATGATTCATCAACTGTTACCCATATGAATAACTGACTGTATGGTTAAGGCAAGGATGTAAGGAAAATCTGTAAGCTTTATCATCTATTGGTTTTTGAATAATTGCTTGAATAATCTGCAGTTGAACAATTGTGGTTTATTATATTCATTTGAGAGTCCACAAAAGAATATTTTGATATGCCATTGACAAAAATAGTAGGAAATTTGATTAATTGTGAAATAAATATTAACATAATAGATGATGACTCCATGGCGCTGTCGTCAAGGTATTGGCTGTGGCGTTAGGGGTCGTGGGTTCGATTCCCACATGGGACAACTATTTGTGTGATCCACAAATAGTTGTTTCGCATCTGGCTGTTTGTCCACGTGAAATTTATGTATGTAAAATGTCCTTGCAACACAGGGTAATGTTATCCTAAAGTGAGGGCAAAGTTTTTATACTTACAAGAACAAAAAGAGATATATTTGTAGGGATTTTTTATGTGAAGAGTTACCAAGCTAGTTCACCTGATGTTTAATGAATACCGCCACCCATGGACATCTGCTACACCCGAGAGTTCCAGATGCTTTGACAACATTATGAAAATTGGGCTCTGCCCACCTCACTCACCAGACGAAACTGTATGGACTTATTTTATAATACAAACTGGACGCTTATATTATAAAATAAACATACATTCCAAATTTCAGTTTGGACAACTTAGTAGTTTTGGTTGTGCACTGATAGTCAGTCAGGATAAACAATTTTATAAGAATTATACTAGCTATTTAAGTAAAAATAGAAACTGAAATTCAACTAGTTTCTATAAAAAAAAAAACAATTTTTTCTCATAATACTACCTTCTTTTTACAGTTTCCAGAAGACTATATCTCCAAAGAATTTTTTGATTCCATAAGTGCTTACATCATTCCCAAGCCGCAAATACAAAGATGTACAATGACAATGTGAGTTGCTTAATTTCTTAGCGTTTAATGCGTAATTGTCACAATTATTTATATTAAGAACTTTATTTTTGGATGGATAGTGACAGAGCTTACAAAACTGCTCTCTTAAAATACTCACAGTGCCCATATTCGTATTATTACGCAAATAAATAGTTACGTATATTACAATTTACTTTCTAATTTCTTCTGTATTTCTTTTCATTAAATCATCATGTGTTAGAAAAACTGGAAGTTTCAAAACGTGGTAGCCGATTTTGGGAGTAGATTATTTAGTCTATTGTAAGAGGTTGTAGCAAACAGACTGGTGGCGAAGATGATGGTGGTATGATCTTCGTCCACTGTTGAAATTTGGAAATTTAACTAACTTTTATGTAAAATTTTGACATTTCATGAGAACGCGCAATCGTCTATGTGAATAAATATATTTTTGATTTTGATTTTTCAACCTAATTAACTCGAATTTGAGTTACAAAAGGGTTATTGGCCTTCGAAAGCGAAATAGGTTCTCTTCTTGAAGGTCATTGAGTTGTATAGGACCGTAGTAATCGTTTGCGACAACGTATTCCGCATATTGTTTGTACGCTGCAGAAAATTGCGTTAAAATTACAATTTCAATGTATCATTTTTACAAAAGACTAAAGGTTAGCTTTGTAAAATGATAAACATCTTCGCAGGGTGCTGGAAAATGAAAATACTTTCTGTATTGTATTAAAAAAATGCAACGCACGTACAATACGTAAAAAACCTTTGGAGTTATTTTAAAAATGTGTAATAATTATTACACCATCTTTGTTAAATGTTACCTCGCCGAGGTTTTAAAACGATTAACTTTATCCTTAGGTAATAATTCGTTGGGGTTAAATTAGCATTAGTCAATAGAATAAAATTTATTATGATTTTGTAAATCATACATCATAATATTGTCATTTGAACGTTAAATTTCTTTCGTAATATTTGCGCTGGACGGGGGAGGCAAATGGCGAAGCGACGTTTATTGATTTCGGTCCCAGACGAGAACGGACCCCGGGGGGTCCGGGAGGAAGGGGGAGGGGCGTCTAACCCCCTCGCATCGCGAATTCGTGACGCTTCCAACATAAACATATTGTCCATAGCGTAGCGTTGGTCGATGCCCATCGCAACTGCGATTGCCTAATTGGAATCTGTGCGCGCTCCGCGATAACCACCCCCGGCCACCTTCCCATCGAGACGAAATCAAGAGTAACGTTGACCAACTTTCAGCAACGCTCTGGGCCACAAGATTGTGGGCTACCCGATACGCATCGACAGTTCGCGTTACGAGCGCAACGTGTACCTCTTCAACCTTTGCTTCGTCTGCGACAGCTGGTCCAAGACCGTGCAGTACGAGCCGGTGGTCAAGAAGCTCGGCGAGCATTTGGTACGTAGTCGGGATAATATTCGATACTAGCGGACCGGACTGACGTCGTCCTGTACATACACACACGGAAATCCGATAACTTAAAAGAAGTGGATCTGAACCATTCTCGAATCAACCTGTAGACGCACAAAAAATTTCTTTAAAATCGGTCCAGCTTTTAGGAGGGGTTCAGTGACATACACACGTACAGTAGAATTATATATATAAAGATTAGGAAAACTGAATGTCTGCTGTTAGATGATTGATAAAATGTTAAGATATAAAATCTTATAGTTGTAGAGGAGTTTTTCAAACGCATATTAAATATGTGCAAACAAACCGGAACAATTGTCCGTAGTTCGCGACAGGGAGATGTCACGACGGAGAATCGAATACACGACGCAGCGCTAAATCTATCGCTTTAGTAACAGCGCCAACTGAAACTCCATACCGTCAAAGTACTTTGGATTTATTATTCAGTTGTGCTTCATTTTTATTCCGCGTTCGTAACGCGTGCAACTAGACAACAGCCAAGCTCGCAGTGTCATCACCGAATATAACTTTCTTTTATACGGCAAGGGCGACACCTTTATTGGGCGTATTTTGCATTTGAGTTGAATTTCAGCTTCGTTTGGTTGACGTGATTCATACGTACATATTAGAAAAATAAATAAATATATATATGGATAATATTGTTTTATTTTATTGCGTTTAAATTTGGCACAATGCGATATTCTGCTGGCGTCAATGTGCACCAGGCCGCAACTTGCAGAAATGCCTTTGATATTTGTGCGAGCGAATTGTATTCTCTAGGAACATGTTTGGATCTTAAAATATCGATGTACGTACACACCTAAGTCAATTATTAAAAAGACCACGGTCTCGTTAATACTTGACCTTCTGAAATTATTCCGAAACAAATTTTACTACGAAGTATGGTAACTGTAAGGAACAACTGTGGTAGGACCACGCGACAGACAGTCTTTGCTATTGCACGAATTGGCAGGTCCGTCTAGGGAAGTACCATGACCTCACAGAAGACTGGGGTGAAGTGGAATTGTTACACTTCTGGATTACGTCTGATCGTTTCGTCCTTTCGAGGTAGCCGGGGCCCCCCTTTATTAAAAGGTGACAACAGTTATCATTTAACATCATGTGAACCGCCTGCTCGCTTGCCATCTTCTAACTACTTTCTAAAGCAGAAATAACAATTAAGATCGAAACCGTTTCATGAACGTACATACGCCGGTGGACATATACGTTGTTCCAAGTTTTATTCTTGGCAATGGCCAAACTTATCGAAAAGTATATTTTCGGATATTTTATCATTGCAAGGTAAACGACTTGGCCGAAATCATTACTACGAGATTAGTACGTAAAAGTTTTTTGTTGCTTTAATACTTTGGGTGTTGAGGTGATTGCTCACGGTTAATCGTATCAGATCAAGCGATTGCGAAGTAATTTACTTTTATTGTTTCATTTTACACTAACTCTTAATTCAGGACTAATTATAATTAAGAATTGTTAATTAAAAGAGCAATGGCTTAATTTATTACCAAATTATATCGGGTAGTGAATAAATGCTTTATTATTTAACTTGGTCTAAAATACCTAGGACATATTATTAATATTTTTTTAAATTTTTGTGTTTGCATGACACGGCTGTGCGGAATGGAACATGATTATCTGCGTGCAATATTTACAACGGGGAAGTAGCAAAATGGAATTTAGTATGATGAGGTGGTATGTTTTAATGGCAGTGAGAGCCAATGGCGTTCCGCTGATATAATTATGAGAGATTGCGTTGTGATTGCACTATGATCGTATACATCGTACGATTTTCTACGGATCTCCATTTAAATTATTAGTTTCTCCAGAATTATATGTGTTCGTTTATTACTCTTATTATATTCTCATTTTGCAGCTGCGTGCGATGAGTTGAGAATAAACCTGTGCTAAAGCGATTCTTGCTCATATTCATTTAATTCTTGTGACTGTCTGGTATTTATTCCCATCGTATTAATTATTATTTCTTACTTAGCTCTTTAACATGTTGTTTAGAATTTATCCTTTTGGGAGCAGGTATGATTGATCTGGCTTCTTCTCAACAGACTCTGATGGAAGAGGAGACAGGGTTCGTATCTAGCGGCTCTTCCAAGCTGCCGACGCTGCTCGCGCATCTCCTGCACGACCTGAACACCTATCGCAAGGCCACCTTAGTCGGTACGTTCACATTTTATTTATAACATGAGAGCCAGCCCCCATTAGAGCGAGACGAACGACTCGTGCCGAATTGCTTACTCGTATGCGATCGGTCACTGGCGAGCGGTTCAATGGGGATATGGAGGCCACGCGCTCGGCGCCTCCTTTTATAAAGTGTCCAAACTCCGATCGCAGAGGGTGACACCGTGATGCACTTGAAGGTGCTAGAGGTGCGCAAAGACCCGGCCCCCGTCCACGACTATGACGTGCCCGTGCTGGTGTCCTCCGTAGGGCTCCCGCGGCCGGGGCGGCCGAGGCGCACCGTCCCGCCGGAGGGCGGCGAGCCGCAGTCGCGCGAGCACCTCGACGTCGAGGACGACGAGCCCTTCGAGGTGCACATGGACGCCGACTGGGACCTCACCACCAGGCAGGTGAGCGCCCTTCGCCCGCTCGCCTCTCTGCTCGCTGTCCGGGGGCCACGGCGGCCGCGGGCCGAGCGCGCCGCTCATCGTCATCCTCATCATCATCCCGTTGGCCTGCCACCGCTGTTGGCCACCCGCGGACGTTCCCTTATTGTTAAACGAGCTTTGGAGGAAAAGATTAATTCAACCTGAACAAACTGTTTTGCTGTAGCTTCTGCCGTACATCAACGGATACAACCACGTGTTGAAAATCGCGGCAGACACCAACGTTGAGAAAACTCTGGTCAAGTCTTGCATTCAGAACTTGGCCTACTACGGAGTGGTAATTTTGCCATTGTGTATTTATCGAGCTTTCATAACCAACCCCCCGAAAGGGGGGGGGGGACACGTGGATATGGACAGAATAGACTAGAACTGCCCCATCAATCATATCTTAACGACCCACACTAACGGCATGTAGACGCAACACGTAGCTGCACCTCGAGTCCGAACTAGCGTTCCGACCACCGCGTGGGGAGAGGACGATTGCATAGTGCCATCCACTCACCTCTCATTAGACAAAAAAACTAACGCCTTTACATAGAACTGTCGGTGTAGTTATCTATTTATTTATTTATTTGTTTGATATGATTTCGTAACTCTAGCTTAAGCTAACACCTCAACTATGCATAACAATTATTCATTATTAACACGTACACTATGATCAACGACGGGCGAATTCAAAGATGTATGCGTGATGATTGCGTTTATTTAGCTGAGTATGAAAATTAAAATTACGCGTCGAGGGTTCACATAAAGCTACCATTTCTTCCTGCGAGTGACTAAAAGTTAAGATATGAACAGCGAACAAAATAATAAATGTTCATTTTTACTGCACCAAACTCCGATGACTTCCTAAAAAAGCCAGGAAACACTTAAGTGATCAAACAGTGCGTTACGACGCTTAATCACTTCTGGGGGACCGCAAACTTGGCGTAGTCTTAAGTTGCGTCCCAAAAATGATGGATGTCGATAAAAGTACTCGCCTACACCCGATCTCGGGAATACATTGCCGCAAGTGTCCCACACCTCCGCCGTCGTGGTGGGGTATTTACACAAAACCCCCGCCACCCACAGAAAATGAGGCACGTTCTTATTTAATTAATTGTCGTAAGAGCAGGCACATCACCAGAATATGTTAAGTGATTACCGTTAAAAAGTAGGTAGTAAGCGTTTACCTCGTGAGGTCATGATACTTCCCTGAATGCGGCCACCCATTCATTCGCCAGGATAAGCCGTTGCACGGCCCTACCTCACTCTCCTTAGGCACACAGCGACAGAAGGTATTCTCACTTGTCTGCTCATTAATAAACCCCATAATGTTCTTCAATAAAGTGGTGCCCCGGTTACCTCACTCGCCGGAAGAAAAGTAGAAGAATAACACTTCCATTTTACGCCGCACGTCTTCTGTGAGAACTTGGTACTTCGTCTACTAATACTACTTTGACAAATAGAAAATCAATCACTTTAGACAAACTACTTCCTTCGACAGAAGCCCTGGTGGTCAATGCCAACGCGACTGTTCGGAAACGTAGTCGCTTCGCTTCCGAACATCGCGTTGGCATGTAACACCCTCGTTAACACGGTCAAGGCAGAGAATCTATTCTGGACCCACCGGGGTTCCCTACCACCTAGCAAAACGCATTTCGCTCAGTACAAATCCTCCAATCGACAATTAACACAGTCTACAGCCATCGCGGCCACATACCACATACAATAACACTAAATCTGTCTAAATAAATTACAAATTGTTTAATAAATGTTTGTTAAAATTTTGTACTGATCTCACCTGTTCTGTAAACACTTATAAAAACATACGTCGGGCTCGAGAAACAGCTTTCAGAACACGCGGCGATGCGACGAGCACGCACACTAGTTGCAGATGCACTCGTAGAATGGATGATGGGGACATCTTTATTCTGTGTCAGATGAGAATAGTATACGGCATCGTAGGTAAGCTTATGTACTCAGAAGGTTTTGTAAATAATTAAGGCCATTTAAACACCACACGCACACATCTGGAGTGGGGTTAGGATGCTAATATTTATTTATTTATTTATTTGGGAAAACCTTGAGTACGTCCGTCGTTTGCTGCCTCTCTGTTTATTATTGCTTATAGGACTGCGAGTATTGTTACGAAAGTGAGTGTTACGTAATTATATTTGCGCAGGTCACTCTGATCCCTCTGCTGAAATTCAGCAACATGTACCGCGCTACGCCCAGCCTCAGCCGGCTGTTCAGCGACCCAGAGTTGCAGAAGTCCTGCATGGCCTTCATCAGCAAGGGCCCCGAGTCCAAAGAGAAGGTAAATTGGAAACGGGTCGTTAAAGGAGGAACCTCATTTAGTACCAAACGACATCTTAATACTTTTATGGATGATAAAATCAAGCAGCGAATCGAGATATTGCTATTTGGAGAGTTTTCAACGGCTACTGATATAATTGCTAATGAAGTAATGACATTTTTCTACTGAGGTAGTGGGGTCGAAGGGCTGCTGTGCGATTGCGATTTTCGTGTCGGCTGTCGGCCGTCGAGAGTTGAGCGCTGGCGGGAGTGAATGCAAATTAAATGTACGCACACAGACGCTGTCGCTGTCGGAGGTTATGGAGGTGCTGTGCGCGCTGCAGCAGGGCACCTCCCTGCGCGCCGTGTGCGACCGCTACTCGGCCAACAACAACGGGGGCTTCGACGTCCGCAAACTGGTGGTGTTCGCGCAGCTCCACGGGCTCATCAAGTGCCTCAAGAGGTACCTTCAACGAACTGCCTTGAACGTCTAGCGCTTGCGGCCCTTTGCGCTAGACCATGTTTGTAATTGGAAACGCTTATACCGCGCAGAGCAAACGCTTCCCTTCAATACCGGGTATACATAAATCAAGATGAATAAAATACAGTTTAATCGTGGACATTGATAGACTTTGAAAGACCGCCTTGCATGTAATAAAGCAAAGTGGCGCTCGAAATTGGCCTCTGTGCACGCAGGTACCCGGTGTACCTGCGCAATTCCACGAGGCCGAACGGCTTCAGCAACCGCGTGGACGGCGCGCTGGGCATACGGCACCTCTTCAACGGGAGGCACTGCACCGACGAGATATGCTGCCTGGCGCGCATAGATCTGCCCACCCTCGACCAGATCATCGAGGAGGACCCCAACGTGGCCGTCATCTGGCGTTAGATAGAACGCCACCATGTTTCCCCTTCAACGTGTCATACTATAACCATATACCCCCATACTTCCTCTACGATAAAACTGTATCCGTAAACATAACAATATTTAAGGGAATCTTGATGTGAAATGTATGTGTATTTAATTAATTATTACTTAAAAATTGTATTTTTATAGCTTTTGGGACTGAGATGTGTGTTTAACTGATTCTGTTTACTTCTTTGTTCCTTTTCTTTTCTTTTCAAAACCTTAGCACGTCTAAATAGTGCGAAAATAGGAATATTCTCAAACATAAATTGCTTTTATTTCTATTTGCTCTTTATTGATTCTTCTGTGAATTACTTATTATTAATATACCACAGCTAATTATTATATTAACATAAATCTATTATAAAATAAGTATATCTTAATTAGGCTTATTTACTATTTATTATTATATTCTTTAACTTAAGGTCTTCATAGTTATTATTAGGATTAGGAAATTTCATACGTATGAATGTTTTTAATATTAATATTTATCATTCGACCTAATTCCATATTCCATTTATGAATATTACTTTCAAGTTTTGTTTCTATATAAATGTAATTAAGCAATGATAACAAAATATAGAATACAATAAACTACATGAATGACGCCACGGCGCCTTCCCTATAAAATTTGGAGAAACGGCTCAAAAAAAGTTATCCCTCAAAAGTTTTTTGTTGAAGGCCTCACAAGAGAAAATTCTTTGGTACTTTTTTCATTCTTTTGCGTCCTTATTTAGGGTGTTTTAAGTAGAATAATTGTAAATGATTGAGAACATTACCCACCATTGCATGTCACATGTCTGTCTGATCAGTTAGTTGTAATTAGCCATAGTTAGCGATAATTAGTGGTAAGTGTAATTAGTGGTGTTTATGATTTTTCCGAAGATTTTGGCATTCACGTGCTTTATAGTCGTGTTAACGCGCATGTATAATGATGCTCTATATATATATATATATAAAATATATATATATATGTGTGTATGATTCGTCTTAAGTGCTTGGTGTGGAACACACTTGACCTCCGTGGTCCATCTAGTATCGACATAGGTTAACGTACTTAATCTTTATCAATTTTACGACTAATCGTTTAGTCAAATTACTTAGTGACTTTTTTCATTCTAACTTTGATTAATATTAATTTTATGATAGACAAAATATCAACAATTTTATTTAAGTATATACCAATGTCACTATTTTTAAAATATTTCAAATTTTTTTATTGATTCGCAATTTTTTACAATTTATTTACCTATTATATAATAAAAATTCACAGTATCTATTTTTTCAATTTATTAGTGTTGGAGTAATTAATAATTTTCGATTAGAATAGAGATTTATTTATTTTATGTATAATTATCGTTATTTATGTAGTTAATTAAAGTATAGCATGTAAAAATTTTATATTTGGTTGAATACCATTTGAAACAGAACACATATTCTAAATTATCTTTAAGACTTCAAGTAAAGTGAAATGTAAGTTATCACAACAGTTTTGGTTGATTCGTTTGTTATGTGTGCTCAATATTTATTTCGTATTTTCTATTCTGGTTGTATTCATATAGTTTAGGATACTTAATCGGTAGGAAGGAACAAAGCAATTGCAGTTCAAAATGTGTTCTAACATGCAACAACTGTGTACTGCCCGTAAGACATTTATAAATTATACTTAGGTTATATTGATGTGGAATTAGTTTAAGATAGTTAAGATTTTAAATACTTTTCCAATTATATTGTTTTTATTGAACCGTAAGCCACCATCCGACGCCCGTTATAAAGATATGAATTGGAAATAGACTTAATAATTTTATTTCAAGATTAGATTTTTTTTTATCGTTTCACGTTTAATTTTCGCTTTCGCATTACCACTTTAGCTTCTCATTTTTTTTTTCTGTGAGAAAGTGGCAAACGAGGTGGCGGTTCACCTGATGTTAAGTGATAACCGCCGCCCATGGGTGTTGCAAATACGTTGCTAAAGCGGGCCCCGGCTACCTCATTCACCAAACGAAACGCAGAAGTGTGACACTTTTGCGTTCCTGCCGCTCTTCTGTGAGGTCGTGGTACTCACTCGGACGGACCTGTAACAGTCAATACTGTACGGCCCTACCGCAGTTATGTTGGAAGATGGATAGTTCATTTGGATGATGTTGCATCTTTGAAATATAAATATAAGTTTGCGTTTATGTGGTAGACAGAAATTATTTGCTACTACTTTCGTTATTTTCTTATAATAATAGCTTAAGATTATACTATAAGATAGATGGTTAACGCTACTTAGCATAAGTATTTTAATTTAGAAAGTCTGTCTCACTATTTTAATTTAAAAAGTCTGTGTCGCTTTTTATTGTATTTCGTCGCTTTTTATTTTGCGCTGTGTTGTATTTCAATTTTTGGATGAACATGAAACGTCTAAATGAGTTTAAGGTTTAAAGACAAGTATCGCCTCAGTCCCATAAGCTATAAATAACAATGTACTAAGGGTTAACCTACCTTTATTAAGTGTGAAATACTAATACTGTGGTAGAATAAGGTAATTTTTGTGCATCTTACCAGTATTCCTTCTATTTTGCAGGTGTTGGTTGGTTGTTTATTAATTATTTGGCGTACTTATATGAAATTTTAGTTAGCTTTGGAAATGAAAAGCAACAACGGTCCGCCTTTGCAGAGGTTCCTCTTTAGCTAATAATTACTTTCTATTTAGCTGTTCATTTTCGAGAACTGTGGATTATGCGATTGATTCTGTCCATAAGAAATGCTCATTTTTGCGTTTATTTTATCGAGCCGATATAAGAGCTTTATAACTCGAATTTAATTTGTTTTATGACTCGTATTTTTTATTTTATTTCGATCGTATTTTATTTTAGTGATTACAAGTGATTAGGACTTTGAGTATTATTTTTATTACTATTCATGTATAAATTATATCATTAGAATTTAGGATCTTGTAGGTTAACAATTCAGTGTCGTGATATAATAAAAATAAACAGTAGACCGCTCTGAGTAACTGTTCTTTTGATTCAATAAACAAAGTTCTTGAATTTCTACTCTAGTAGCCAAGAGTCTAAAAATGGAGGTCTAGAGACCGAACTCTTCGTCATTTACTTCCAACATTTAGGCTATCCTAACATCCAAAACACTATTCCCCTAAATAATCTGTTGTTAGTAACAAGTTAAGATAGAAGTTTCAGCACATTTGGATTGTGTTGATAAACCTATCGGAGAGTTTAGGAGCGTTTTATTTCAATGTTTCTTTTTTAATTTCTTGGCACAAATAATTGACGTGTGAACAATAATGTTGGTATTTCACTTATTTCATTTTTTTTTTTAAATATTTAAATGATTATTTCGAGTGGAAACGTTTCCAGATTCACTTTTAATTATTTTTATTTCTTTTGTCAGTATTATTTAAAATGAGGGTCCTTATTCATAAATTGAAAACTACGCGCTTAAGGCGTCCAATCCATTTCCGTATTATATAAATATTCTCTTATGTTCTGTGTACTTACACTTACATTCAGCAAATCAGTATCAGCTAAAAGTGTTTGTTTGTAGTACAAATTATTTATTATGACTAAAAGGTCCACCATGACTTGCTTGCTAATACAAATATGTAATTAGCTCGCTCCTGCTATATCTTTTGTTCATTTTTAAAAAGTTCAATAATATGAGAATAATAAGTACCGTACATATTATAGCTTTTATCTAACTTTTAAAAATACAAGTATTTTCCATCTTTTCTTTCTTTTTAATTCTTCAAGCATCTAGTTTGTTTCATTGGTGTAAGTATGTTGTAATTATTAATTTATAATAGGTTCTATTTATTAATTTATTATATTTGTATAACAAACTCCGAAAACACTTAGGGTAGTAAAAAAGCTAAAATATCAAAAATAAACTTAGGGAAAAGGGTAATTTGGAATCGGAATTTGGTGTTATAATCGAAATGTGTGATAATTGTTGATACGGAATTAGGGAGACATTTTTGATGTTAGAATTTTATACTAAATGGTATTTTTCTATTATTCCGTTCACTCATGTTTCCTAATTTCCATAGAAATTGTTTCCGTATCCATTATAAGTTTTTACATTATAAAATATTTTTCGACCTCTGGCTATTGTGATTTTTAGTCTTATACCATTTGGAAAACTTTCAACTTTTACAATCGGCTACTACTATTACTTATACAACTTTATAACTGTAATTTAAAGTCCCAAGCTTTCGATGTAATCATAATCCTAATAATATTAGTAACTAGAGGTGTTTTGAAATATCTGTATCATAAAACAATATCAAATTGTACTAGTTTAATCAGTGTCAATCTCTAGCAGTGTTCCCTATATTCATGTTCATGGGTCAAACAGCGCGCCCATTAGAAAAATCAATTATGTTCATTATGTAACAGTAGTTCCAAAATAAATTCTTTAACAATCATAGTGTTTTATTGCTTTGAACGATTTTCACTTTCCAATAGATATAATTATATTTTTAGTTTTAACATCATTTGCAATCAATTCTCGATTACAAATCACCTTCAATTGAGAGGACACCGCGCTACGCTTATATGTGACACGATCAATATGTGAGTGTTTGAGGGACACCAGATGAATGAAGATTTGCCAGTTTATTCGTTTAATTCAATAAATCGGTGCAAGAAGACTACTAACATTATTTCATTAAATTCACAAAAATGTAGTAAATGTTGTCAAATAACAGTTGTTTTACTTGTGATATGTATTCCTTCTTAAGTTGTCTGGGACTTTAGTATTACATTCACACCACACAAATGATAAGATTACTTGTAAGAGTAAATGTTGTGTGAGGCATGTAAGTACCACCGGTTCCTTCGCTTTACTATGTGGATATTTACTAATCGGTGGTTGTCTGTTCAGATTATTTGTTGTCACTGATATAAAATGGAACGAATATAAAAAAAGTTATGTTTGTTTACCAGTAAGAGTATTTTTGATACTTCGAAAAGTAATAGTCTTAAATTTTGGCTTGTATATGAAGACATTCATTCCGTTCAGTCTCTATTCAATATAGGCTTATTTAAAATTCTTATTGAACGTCAAAAAACTACCACCGGGTTACTAAATTAGACCTGTCCAGAGGAGAACCGGCAAGAAACTTTGCGGCCTTGGTATCTTTTTTAATTATTTGAGTATATAAAATTAAGTATAAAATCTAGTAAAAGAGTCATTTCCACACATACTTGTCCTCTATTATTATGACATTACAATAGGCCTTTTCCATTTGTCTTTTTAAAACGTTTTGAAATTTTACACTTAATTTTTGATTTTATTACGTTAATGATACATGTACCAATAAACGATTTTCTGGGTAAACCTCGGCATTTCCTACGTGTCACCATATCCCCGCGTCGTTGGGGTATGTTTTTTTTTGTAAAAAGATGTATGTATATTGTTTCATACATACATAGGTGTTAAAGCTTTTTTGCTTAAAAAGATGCCGGAGTAACTCAAGTGGACCCATATTGGTACACAGCACGTATCACCAGCTCAATTTCGTTACTGAAACTCATTTTTATTTATCAGGTGCTATTTAGGAGGGTGTGATGGATTTGATAAATTCAGCATGTGGTCACATACATTTTATTAAACAAATAGAGTCAGATCACAATATTCATAATAATATCACAGCGTATCGTCAAAATTAAAAAAAAACAGAAAAGTGTAGGACACGTTTGAGTTATTGCATTGAATTAAATCAGTTTGGCAACGCCAATTGTGTTGAGATGCTCATTTTACACGGACATGTAATTTAATTTTGATAAATTTTTCTAATATAATAACAGGTATGGTAATTTCTAATATATAAAATTCTCGTGTCACAGTTTTCGTTGCCATACTCCTCCGAAACGGCTTGACCGATTTTGATGATTTTTTTTTGCTTATCCGGTATCTATGAGAATCGGCCAACATCTATTTTTCATCCCCCTAAATGTTAGGGGTAGTCCACTCCAAAATTTTTTTTTATTTTTTAGACAAAATTTTTAATTTCTATTTTTTTATGATACAACATACAAAAATACATACAATCCTCAATTTTCACCCTTCTACGATCAACCCTTATTTTTTAATAGCCATTTTAGTAATTCAATCATTTTTCCTCTCCGGTCGAAAACTGATCATTTATATGGCAAAACAACGTTTGCCGGGTCAGCTAGTGTTGATATATAAATTCACACTATAAAGTACACTAATTTTTAGTGCTTTTATCTACACTTAAGATGAAATTTACCACAATTTAGTACCTACCTACATGATCGTGAAAATGTATATATTTTTTTTTAAATTTTAATAATCAATACATTTATGTTAAGGCATCACGAAATGGTCGTAGCCAAAGATATAACTAGAATTATTGTCTTTACATTTATAACAAAATATAATTATATTTATCCTTCCATGCACTTACAACACCATGTATATTTATAATATATTTAATAAAGTCCTCGATGTTATTTATAATTTACATATTTGTAAAAATGACTCTTGTATAATATTGGCCCTCGTTGAACATTCGTTTTTGTAAATAAAGCGAAATAATTTGATTATAGAAGTAAATGAATTGAGAAAATGGAAACAAATTTATTCTCAACTGGTTTTAAGAGTAGTTTACAACACCATAGTTGAAAACTTTTATAAATGTTTTAGACCTAATAATTCACTTGAACCATGACTACGAATTACTATGCGTTTCAAATGAGAATCGTCAATGACCTCGATCTAAGATCACTACAAAAGTATCTAGTGATGGTAACAAAAAATATTTGGGTAAATGGTTTTTTACAAGCATTTATTTAGTTTCACCTGCCCCGATGGTTGTAATCAAATGTTTCAAATTTGAATTTGAACCACTTCCCCTTACCGATTGAAATGAAATTTTGCATAAATGTGACATGGTACTGATCTAATTAATGATGGAGCTAGAAAGTAATTAATAATAATTTAGTTTCGTTATAAACACAGGTAATACTTACACTTTTACATATTCGAGATCTAACCGAACAAAAAATAAATAAAGAAATCTATTGTTTTTAATTTATTTGCCGACCTCTCCTGTGAGAGGTTCGCTACTTTAGCACGAGCGGCAACACATAGTTCGAACTTATCAATAACTTTATCTAAAAAATGCATTATAAATGTATATTTGTAATCATAACTTTTTACGCTTTGAATGCGCGTACAATGGACGCTATGCTCTCGTAGGTTCCAGTCACAAAAATGAACAAGCCCAGGGATATTATAAAAACGTCCTTTATGAAGATAGGTAATGTGATGCCTTTAGAGGTCTGTGAGTTGTACACCAGCTCTATCAGTGGTGGGAACACGAGTGCCAGTGCTGTGCTGCTGATGGCTCCAACCAGCGAAATAAAAAGCCCAAGGTTCGGTATCGACTCGGCCAGGACGACTGCGACATCACACAATTTAACATATCAGTATGGTAAGCGTTTATACATTCATCGAAGAATGTTTACATACATGCATGCATATGACACGGCGAACGTTAACTTTTTTAAGATTCAATTCCCCTCTCAGCTTATATTATATAAATTTTTTAAATAAATGTACTCTTGCAAATCCGGAGTGAGTCTGGTTCTACGACGAAGAACTGATGACGGATACGAGGGTAAGTTCTCGAGAGGGGACCACGAAACGGAAGAAGTAGCGTTGGTAGGCTTTCTACTAGATGAACAAAGTTCATTGAAAGAGCCACCGGCAAAAAATAATGCTCGATTGTCAAAGGTTTAGAATTTGTTTAACAGTCGACATCTTTCGGCTTACTTATAAAAATGTATAACGCTAATAATCAAAAATTACGCTACTCACACGTAAGCAAAACTAGAGCGGAACGGTATCCAAGCTCCTTTGCCATGGGTGAGGTCTTCGCAAATCTCTTCCTCAGGCCCGGCCATGTGATACACACGGGTACGTAGAACTGAAGCGGGTAAGTGAACAGCATCGCGAGAGCTATAAGCCCTTGAACAACGTTGCTCAAGCTGTAAATAGGCATGTACACAATTTTACATTATACATTTAATAATAACCCTGTTAAGTTACAAATGTACATAATTAAAATAGCCCGCCTTTATAAGTTGTGTACATTAATTTTATTTTCATACTTTTTAATAAAGTCCTGTTAAAAACACGAAGAACATCAATAATGCGTCAAATTGATGTACGAAATCGTCTTTAAAATACTTTCATATCAAACGATAATCGAATTTAAATTTCACCCTTATTCCTTCACCCTTTTCATAGTATAAATAAAATATTGTACAAAACTTTGTTGAAAAAGGCAATTCTTTTTTTTGTATTCATAAATGATGTTTTGACAAATCGTGGCTAAGGCTGTTGTCCGAACGCTTTCTTATTGAAATAAAACTCAGAACACTCACACTTGTCCAGGCTTCAGGTTGAGAGTGAGGCTGCCCGCAACATCGTCGCCCCATTTAAGGTAGCCCAAAAAGCCGACAGTGACGAATATGCTGCCTACCACCACCATGCCTATATTCAAAACGCCCAAAGGCTTCTGGAACAGCTCCGGCCTCCTCATCTCGTTCTTCAAAGGTAGCACCTGAAGAAATAAGCAATTCAATTTTTCTGTCGGAGAATTTTAATGTTATTTTTTATATTCGTGAAATTTACCAAACCAATGCCTTCAAAGGCGTAAATAGCGGTTCCGAAGTAGAGTGGCAGCGATTGCCACGGTGCCACGTATGCCCTGGACGGCACCGGAGGCAGTTCCTGGGCAGCCTCGTACACCACCACGCTGACGCCCACGGCCATCATCACGTTCGCGATCGTCGAGAAGGGCGTAAGGTACTTGAGGTTCCTGACCATACAGGACAGCAGGACCGGGACTATCACAATTATCATATGCACCGATAGGTCTATATGTATGTTGTACTGGTCGCAAATCTGAAAAAGTACAACCCTGATTAGTGAAACATAGAGCATAACAAAATGATTGACTCCTAAACTTCCAACTCGTAGCATCCCACGCATTCCTGATATTGCGTCTTTTGAATTTTTTAAAGAAACGCCACAGATTTACAAACTTATGGATTTGAAAAAGTTCTATGATTCAACGAAACAAAAAAAATTGTTATAAATAATACGGTAAAACATAACATAAATACATAATTAAAATATAAAAAAATAACTTAGAGAAACGAAAAGTATTGTACGTCCTATTTCCGTAAATTAATTCAGCGGTTCAGCATAACGAGACACTAGTATGCTGTGCCGGAAGTCAAACCCCAACACAGCGTTAATTTTCAGTGCTGACCTTCGCGCTTCGTGATACTACATAATTAACTTTCAATGAAAAGTACATGTGCCTTATCATATCTCCTAACTCACCATTTTAACATTGTTCGCTATGAAAACAATATAGACGCAGCAGAATCCCAGCTGCGTGATGCAGAGGAACGAGTTGACCAGCACTCTCATGGTGCCGGCGAGCGGTCGCAGCCGCTGGGGACCGCTGGCGAACACCAGCGCCACGGTCTCCGCGAAACCTGGCGGTTTCTCCCTCTTCGTCTGCCGGTACATCTCCTCCGAGCAGTTCAGCTGATAACGCAGATCATATTAAGATTTCCTCACATCTAATGTTGTATAGGCTATTTAGGAAACAACCCGTTTTAAATGAAACTATGGTTACAGATTTATTGCGTTTATTTTAGTTATATTTCCCAACGTTTCGAACCCTTTTCAGCGTTCATGGTCACGGATTAGACTGATTCTTTGGAAGTTTGAGTGACATTGTTAGTCCGAGCTACCGCCAGATTTGTAATTATTAAATTTTGCGTCGCTCTACCCAGAACATGCTAATTTTATCTTGGCTCGCAGTAGTGGTTCGTTTGGGCCTACGTTTAGTTTTGTAATATTAGGATAGGTAATATTAGGATCCCAAGCTGATGGTAGCACCTAACCCTCTTATCTATTAAATCACCCCTTTTTGTTATACACTTGATATTTATGAAGTCATTTAAATTTTGTCAATGTAATTATCCATCACGCAGAGTAATACCAAGCAGAATGTTAGTAAGCTGAATTGGCGATGGCCCGCCCATATAGCTCGTAGAAATGATAACTGTGGTAGGGCCACGCAGCAGCCTCGGCTGTTGCACGAATGGGCAGGCTCGTCCGGGTTAGTACCATGACCTCACAGAAGAACGGCGTAAAGGGGAAGTATAATAAATACTTTCGCGTTTCGTCTGGTGAGTGAGGATGCCGGAGCCCAATCTTCTAAAGGTTGTCAACGCATCTCTAACCCGTGGGTGTAGCATATATCCATGGGCGGCGGTATTGACTTAACATCAGGTGAACCGCCTGCTCGCTTGGCAACTTTTCACAAAAAAAAATATAACCGTTAGGGAAGAAAGGTTCTCGAGTGGCAGCCTCGTACTGGCCACCACAGTGTGGGATAACCCTCCACTAGATGGAGTGACGACCCGTGCAAGTGTGCAGGAAGTCGATGGATGCAGGTGGCTCGGGATCATGCTTCGTGGTAGTCTGCGGGGGAGGCCTATGTTCAGCAGTGGACTCAAGTCAGGCTGAAATTATGATGATGATGAAACCACTGTCAATTATTATCAAACTACAAGCTAAGCGAAGCGATAAAGAAACAGAAATAAACGAATAGGGTAATCACCAGCAAGTGCTGAGCGTGGACACAGATGACGCCGAGCAGGGCAGTCGAGATGGTGGCGAACACAATCCCTCCGTTCTTGAAGGCGTCCCCCATCGCCAAGAGGCCAGAACCGATGTTGCCACGGAACAGGTGCAGCATGGTGTCCATGTAACTGGCCAACGGGGGATGCATTAAGAATACACTCTATTCGCTCTTGTCTGTACAACTAAATTCTGTACTCTTGACTTTACTTCCATTTTACTTTTACAGTTTTAACTTGTCTTCAGGATATTATGAAGATGAATAGAATAGAATATTCCAATGGAATATTCATACATTTCGGGATATCTCGTGATATTTAGAATTTGGCAGAAATTATCAACCTAAATTATCAGACAAATTAATTACATAATAAACTAATATATTAGTTTATTTTTAATTTATCGGAAAAATAAAACGACTTCTCACGAATATTTCCAAATTTCTTGGGTTTTTTCTTGACAAGAAACTGTGTAAATTGCTTGCGGAGAATGCATTACACGGGACAAAGTATCTGTATACAGTGTTGATGCCGCATAAATTAATAAAGGCATACGTTGAATTTGTCTTTTTGTAGTGATATCGGGATTGAGGAAAGGAGTTGCATTGTTGCAATAGTGCATCACTACATAGTATAAAATAAAAACGTCCGGCCTTCTGTCCGTCCCTATGTATTTTTTAATGATTAAAGAGGAAGGTTTATGTTTTTTATTCTTTTTCTTTAAAAAAACATTGCCTTTACTTTAGCATAACATTATCCTCTGCTGTAAGGACGTATTACAAACATAAATTTCACGTGGACAAACACCCAGATGCGAAACAACTATCTGCGGGTGTCACAAATAGTGGTCCCGTGTGGGAATCGAACCCACGACCCCCGACGCCGAAACCAATACCTTGGCAACTGCGCCACGGGATCATCTAAATAATATGTATAATAAATACATTGCACCCGTGAGAAGCCGAGGCGGGTCGCTAGTCAATTATAAAAGCATTAGTATCTAAATGAATAATAGATATTTTGTAATAACTGTCGTCGTTAAACTCACGAAGTGGGATGCGTGACCATGTGGTGTCCGTCCGACGATTCGGACGGCTTTCCAGTTTCGAAGTCTCCATTGTGGCTCTCTTGGTCGACTATCTGCTCCCGGGACTGATATGCTCCGTAGCCTTCCGAAATGTTGCTGCGGCAAATAAAAAAATATTGAAAAAGAACAATACACACAATGTTGCCACAGATCAGAAAGATGTCGTGATTTCCGTTAATGGGAAATAAGGTTAGATTGAATATATTCGCATCTAAGCGGTATGTGACGTGTACGCAGTAAAAAATGAAATTTATTATGTCCGGGATTTTCCAAGTTGTTTGTTAGCCAACTTGCACATTAAAAACAATAATCTTATTCGCTTCTTTTATTGTATGTACATATGACACACACAAGTAAAAAGGGACAGAGCAAGTTACACACATCAAAATATGTGACCAACATCAACTAATATTTCGCCGCCACGATATTCTTGGGTTATCCAACAGAATAAGTATAAGTATATATAATTATAGGAACGTAAGTAAATTAACAGCCTATACATGTCCCACTGCGGCTACGTAAAGTGTAAGGGCATAGTCCACAACGTGACTTTGACGTGACGGATTGGCGGACTTCAAATATCTTTGAAGTATTTTTCCAAATACGCAGGTTTCCGCACGACATTTCTCGTTGACCTCGTGATAAGTCAGCACTTTAAACTAATAACTTTTAACTTAAACTAATAGCACCGGGATTTGAACTCAGGTTGGTTGAGGATAGTGAAATAAAAGCGATCGCTGCGGACACTGACCTGTTCCGCTTCTTTTCGTTACTTTTATGTTATAATGTATAAACGTAATAAAGAACTTAGTAAAAAGTTGAAAAAGATCAGAACTTTTGACAGCTTTTTAATCAAAAAAGTATAAAAATTGCAGTATGGTTCATTAAACAAGAGTACAAGTTATCTAAAAAAATAGAGATAAAAGCTTTATCAAATACCAGGTTTTGCGGTGGTAGGGCCACGCAGCAGCCTCGGCTGTTGTCCGAATGGGCGGGCTCATCCGGGTAAGTACTACAACCTCACAGAAGACCAGCGTAAAGTGGAGTATAATACTTTCGCGTTTCGTCTGGTGAGTGAGGTGGCCGCGCCCAATTTTCAAAAGGTTCTCAACGCATCTGCCAACCTCGGGTGTAGCAGATGTCTATGGGCGGCGGTATTCACTTAACATCAGGTGAACCGTCTGCTCGCTTGGCAACTTTTCACATAAAAAAAAGCTTAAAAAGTTTCATCTTGAATGCAGAGACTAGTATGATCACTGCGGTTATTTAGAACCTGAACACGTCGGCGGTTCATCGATTCTGTGAGGTTATTGACCACATCCTGTGATATTCGCTCCCAATAAATTTTTAACACTCCCTGCATATACTCGGTGCAAACATTGGAAAAGAGAAAAACATGATATGACGTCGCAAAACGTTTTTGACGTAACAATAAGCGTCTAAGTACCTAGCCAATTATAATACGAGGTAAATTCGTCTGTACTTCATGATTCCCGCCGTAGGGATAAGCTTCCTGAAAGACAGCTAATTACACTCCACAGAAAGACGGCTAATTACAATTATAGTTTACACCCACTTCCACTTATCGATTATGATCCAAGCCAAGGTTCGGACCTCCATCGTAGTTATAGATAATGGTACGGAATCATTCGTGCGCGTGTACGCAGGTATTTTTTAATAAAATATGAAGTGGTGTTTTTCACAAAAGAAACAACTTTTAAAAAAAAGGGAAAAAATAACAAAATCATCTGGATCAACAAAAAATAAAGAAAGCAATGATCTGGAATCGAAAAAAAGTAAAAAAAAAAGAGTGTGTAAAATAAATGAACACACGTCTAACGCTACTTGTCAATAATCATAAAAAAATATTAACGTTGAAAAAATCCATAATTTGAAATCGTTGAAAAAAAAATATTTTTCAAACAAACTTATTAAGTAAAAAAGAAACAAAGATTGTAACATCATGTACAACTACAGCCGACTGCTTCATACATTCAGAGACTTTTTCATTCGTTGCCACAGCGTCGCATTATAAGCCTCTCCTTCGAACAGTATGTTTTGTCTCTTTTAAATTCATTCAACCCATTCATATGCTTTGTGACCTTTACAAATGAACTTTACGTTACAGTTTTATACGTAAGGTTGTTCTCAAATTCTTTGTTTTGGAAAATTTAATAACTGTGTAAATATTGATGTTTAAAGAATGTAAATTTTTAATACAATTTTAAAAAGTTATCCTCTATATGTGTGTTCATTTATTGTCGCGATTGTAAAGACACGCTGTATATACAAGAATTGCTCGTTTAAAGGATAAGATATTAAATGAAACTGGTTTATGGATTTCATCGTGGGTTCATTTATAAAATTAAATGACATTCGGTTTACTGAAAATCAGCCAGCATTCATTGATTATCAAAGATTAATAAATGGGTTGCACATAGTATTAAAACACATAACTTTATTAAATTATTTTTTTTATATCGTATTGCTTAGACATAATAATAAGTACTTGGATGAAAAAATCATTTGGACTCGAACCGGGGTCTTCTGGATTCGGTACAAACCGATTACCGCCGGAGCTGTTATAACATTGTACCAGTTTTTCAATATCTAAATCAAAATTATTAGACAATGCAACAGGAAAACAACTACATCTGAAAGCGTGGTGGTTTCTATAACGGCTAGCGATCGAAATTGGCCAGTGTTCGAACGAGGTATTTTGCAGCAATAAAATTCGAAATATATTTTTAAAAAAATCTTTATTAAATTAACCTAAAACGGTTATTATATGTTAATCTACAAAGTTCTATCCTCAATTTTCCCTCTATTAAATACGAACTGCATAAATAATTCTTGCGAAATACATAATCGTAATGAAATACATTTTTATCCATTGCAAAATATGGTCATGTAACGAAACATTATAGCGGCACAGAAATTTGGAGCCGAAAGTTGCTCCATCCAGCAGTATTGCCCAATAATTTTAGAGCCAGCTGTGGACATACGAAGTATAAAAATAGCTGTGTGCAAACATCCTTTGATTTTGGTTGTTGAATATTACATAAACTAAATTATCTGAAGTCGTTAATCTAAGAAAGGAATACCTAAAGGAACTTAACAATTATATCGAGTCAAATGAACTATACGATTAAAGCCCTTTGAAATGAAATAACATTCACCTACTATATAAAATGTCATTAAAATCCAGCCAAGATGTCGTACAAACCACAACATACTAATTTGCAACCAACAAACACTTAAGTGTATTTAACATTTATTCAGTTACGTCACACTTGCATACTGATCATTAGGGGCCCGTCAAAGTAACTTGTAGATGGGCCTGAGGAACTGGTTCACTTGTTTGTTGATGTGTTTCTGGACTTTCTTCGGCCGGCCGAAATAGTCCGCCAGGGCCGTGCCGAAGCCTGATGCTGCAGCAGACACCGCGCCCTGAAACGGCCGCTGGTAGTCGCCGTATTGTCCATACGGCTGGCCGTATGGGCCGAACCCACCTCCGTACGCTGGCCCTCCGAAACCTCCGTGGCCGCCAAGGTTACCGTGGCCACCGTGCCCGCCGTGGCCTCCATGGCCGCCATGGCCTCCGTGCCCGCCGTGCCCGCCGTGGCCGCCGTGGCCATGCCCACCGTGCTGCTGGCCATTATTAAGGGGATAGGAAGAGAGGCCGCCGCATCCGAAATAGTAGTTGTTCACCGGCGCCGACACGTAGGTGTACTCCTGGGTGCCGAACAGCTTCTCCCCAAAAGACCTGCCGTAACCACACGGCCCGTTGTACTGGTGCTTCTTCCGCTTTTTATGCTTCCGCCCCAGGTCGTCGTCGTCATAGTCTGAGTCCCTGCTGTGAGCGTCCTCGGCGGTCGCCAAAAGGGCGAAGAAAGGCAGCAGAAACATGATGCACATGCAATTCTGGAACAAATTATGTGAGAACCAAGTATACATCACTGTAATATAATGAAGGCGTTCATTTAAAAATAAGTTCGTGGACGCTTAATTCTGAAAAATATATTAACGCTGCCTCTAATATACTATATACTATTGCAGAAAATGTTATTGTACTCACTATCAATATATCTATCCGATATATACCTGTAAGAACCTAACTTCAAATTCTAACATCAAAAGGAAGTAAGCAAAAAGTCCACTTACCATTTTAGGTTCCTTGCAAACTTCTGCCGACTGCCAGTGCGATGGTCCGAAGTGGACTGGTGCCTTGTACTATCCTAACGGAGGCGTCCGATTCAAGTGAAAGTGTTGTGGCCCAACGTAACCGAAACTCAACGGAGGTAAACCCACTCGGGTATTTTTATGAAGCAATCGCCGCCGAGATATACATATGATCACGAACTCTTGCGACTCTTTCGAACGCAAGCAAAACGACACGGCGCTAACATAGTCTTTTTATAGTCTGCAACTCTATTTTGCCATGGAAGCAGCAAGTTTTAGTTTAGGTTCATAAATAATAATAAAATAATATATAAAAAAACCAACGAGACTAACCATTAACTCTTTTCATGTTAGGATTAAGGTGCGCTAACATTTTTTGCTCCAAACTGTGTTTCCTATTCGTCATTCCTAACATAGAAGTTTTTTCAATATGGTAATTTTTCTTTTTAATTTCACTTTGTAGTGTTTAGTTGCGGTGTAACTCTGTCTGCCTTACTCACCGCACTGGAATCGCTACCTAAACATCTGTTTCTTATTCTTTTAATATAAAGTATTTCCAATTACATATTTTCTTCATTGATTACCATTTCTTAATAACCTTACGTCGAGGTGTTGCAAGTAAAGTTATACAAGGTACATTCAATACTATTAGTACATTTAATTATGATTTATGCAATTGTATAACTAAAAGGAAATAAAGTTATTATTATTGGGGGGGATATTCATTTGTTTTCTCGTCTGGTTGGGTTTATAAATAAATATAAAAATAAAGATATAGATATATATTGCATATATAAAATAAATATTATGGATAAAAATAAACACACATATATATATATATATGTAAACTTTTTATATAATACATATATAAATAGGACCCAACCAGACGGAAGCCCTCGGCAGGGGAGACCAAACGGCCGAGGGTTAGGGCGAAAGGGAGAGAAACCGGCGGACGATGCGGGCGGTATCGAGGAGCTCCGCCTTCTGCATTTGAGCCTGGAGCGATCCGTCCCGGAGTCCCAGTCGTCTCAGATGTTTAGAGAGGCTGACTGGGATCAACCCATTCGCAGACACGACTATCGGGATAATTTCGGTCGCCACACCACCCCACATATCGGTCACCTCGTGAGCCAGGTCCAGATACTTCGTCTTCTTATCTGTTTCGGCTTTCACGAGGTTCTCGTCATATGGAATGGTAATGTCGACCAAAAATACCCGCGACTATGCCCGGTCCATCAACACGATGTCAGGTTTGTTCGCGACAATCGTCCTGTCCGTGATGATGGACCGGTCCCAATAGAGCCTGGCGCGGTCATTTTCGAGCACGGCCTCCGGAGAGTACTTATAATACGGCAGTTTCCGTTCCACGAGGCCGCATTTCAGAGCGAGCTCCTGATGTAGGATTCTATTTTATTATTATTATTATGGGGGGGATATTCATTTGTTTTCTCGTCTGGTTGGGCTTATAAATAAAATTAAAAATATAGATACATATTGCATATATAAAATAAATATTATGGATAAAAATAAACATATACATATAAATGTTGTATATAATACATATATAAATAGGACCCAACCAGACGGAAACCCTCGGCAGGGGAGACCAAACGGCCGAGGGTTATTATTATTATTATGCATAATAAGTCCCATTATGTAACATTGATTGTCCATTATGTCCGTGTTTTTTTTATTATCTGATCACTGAGTATGTCACATAATACAAATGAAATATGGTTTTCTCCATATGCTGATTTAATAAAGACATGAAATATCTTATCATTAAAAATCGATCTAGCTAGGTTTCATTTTTAGAAAATGTCCTTTTATCCCTGTTTTCAGGGAATGAAAAATATCATTCGAATATGACAGTAAATTTCGCCGCAAAAAATTTTTATAATAGCTCGGTAGGGCAGCCCCAAAACAGACGGCCGCGGTTCGTATCACGATCATTTACACCCTTATTTTTTTACTTTTTTTTTTCTATACCAGATCATTAATTCCAAAATACATTTACCAAAAAAAACCCGAGCAAAGCTCGGTCCATCAGGTACTAAATATTAATTTGTATTACTTATGAATAGTACTATTTGTATTACCTTTGAAAGAGTAGAATCTTGGTAAGCACCAAGTTTCGTGGATAACTTTTTAAGTATTTCCTTGTTTTGTAAGGACTTTTACCACGGTACGATACTCGATTTTTCTTAACATTATCGTATCAGTGATCGTAGTTGCATTTTCGTGAATTCAATGAAATTTTATATTTATACCCTCAAAGAGAGTCTTTGTCTAATTTTATTTAATGTACTCTAAATAAATAAAATAATTTAATTAACCTCATCATTAGTATAGTATATCATCCCGATACCGAGTATGAGCAAGATGTCGGTATTACCTGTATAAGGCGGCCATCTTGCAGCCCAGATTTCAACATCATGACCATGTAAGTGACGAGGTTGGGAGATGTTTGATAACACTTGCTTTTGTACTTATTAAAAATTAGTTTACAGCATGCTACATATCGATATTATCAAGTAACATTTTAACAAGGTTAACCTCTGTTTTTAGATTTTAATGTTTGTTTTTTGTAATTTTTTAGTATTTGCGGGCTGTTAAATGTTTAATGAGAACTGCTATTAGTATAAATAACAATCAGGTTCAAATATCTTTTTTCAATATGGAAGCACTGCACTTAGTTAAGTACTTATTGTCACTAATTATAAATAATTAGTGACAATAAGCAGTGTAGGTTACACGTATGTTACAAATGCATACCTATTCGAGCGTATCTTTGTCTGCAAACGTTTTGCAAATGGACATTTCGAAAGTTCTATGGCACCATAACTTAATTGAATGCACGAAGACCTCGGGCTTTCGCAACAAATAGGTTTTTAAGGCTGTTACCTAACAAGCCCACGCGAGTTCTACAGTGTAAGTAATCAAAAGTAAGTCCTTGACAGAAAATTGTGTACAAATATGTACCATATCATTTCAGTACATAAGATTATGATTGGCTAAGGAAATATTAGCGGAAAACTACAATGTTATTAGATCATAGTAAAAGTACCGTATAAAAATCAAAAAACACGAAGGCACGTAAAACAATCACTGGGGCAAAAAAACGCATTTTTTGTTATAGCGGCAACAAAAATATCTAATCTATGAAAATTTCAACAGTCTAACTATCACTGTTCGTGAGATACAGCCTTTTGACAGACGGACAGATAAAAAGAGAGACAGCGGAGTCTTAGTTATAGGATCCCGTAACAGTTACATAGAAGGTACAAATGTGTTAAAAACAATGGGCCATTAAGATATATAAGATCAAGAAAACATATTTCCTTTGCAGCTTTAAAATGTATAATTTTTACTTAGATTTTTTTTAAAAATATTTGTATCGTGGCGTTGGCGATTCAATAACCAGTCTAGTTGTGGACTATAGAAAGGCACATGGAATTAAAAATGAATCGAATGCAGTAAGTAATTCTAAAGTCAGTCTAACTTATGGTTAAAACTTAATTCCTTCGGCATTCTCTACCACTCAACCTATACCTAACAGTACTTTTAGGTCTTTTAGGTTCTTTTAGGTAAATGTCTTATGTCTTTTCTGATAATAAAGCCATAGACATTAAAATTAGGACGAATACCGAATGCTTTAGATTGTTAGTGTTACAGTTAAATCACCTAATGAATTAGCAATGGCATATGGTAAATATAGTACCTAATTAAAAGTAATTCCAACCATTATTGTCTGTCTCTACCTTCATGGAAAGAAAGGGCATGTATGTGGCCATTACGGCGCGATGAACTTAAGTGAGGTACTACTTTACGTACTACCCATCGGCCAACCAACGAAATTCATACCACACTTCGGTCCATCCAGGAAGCGCACTTCAAGGGCACACAGCTTTTGAAAGCGCCGATATTTTAAAAATTTTATATCAGAATTGCAAAGGCGACTTAGAGCGGTCAAGCTCTAAGTTTAAAGCAACACTTTTGAACCAAAATACTTGGGATTTCTTCTTGTTCTCCATTTGCAATTCAGTTTAGAATCTTATTTTTCTTAACCGTCTTCGAAAATCTCATTCACAATACATTTTCTACTAGATTTTGAGGAACACCCTGACGTGTTCAGCGGTGAACTAAAACCTCGTCAGGAAACTTGTATGTTTTTGAAAAAATCGCAATTTTCCTAGATTTATGTGAAGTCCGCCAATCCGCAGTGAATATATAACTTTTTCACTTTTACCTTGATGCTTCTCAGGAGACAAAGGCTCCATAACATTGAAATTAATAAGGGACCACATCAATGTATGCGCATATGAATTGAATAAGAAAATAATATTCGACGACTCCGTGGCGTTATTGTCCATCCTTTATAACCATTCCAACACGGAAAAAGTATACGTGTAACCCACAATGATTGTTTCGGATCTAGCGATTTTGTCCCCGTGAGTTTCATGCTTGTAAAACGCTCAGACAACACAGGATAAAGTCATCCTACAACAGTAAGGGCAATATTTTTTAAATAAAAAAAGAAAAAAAAACATAAATGAGTTAAACCGAATCCAATGCAAAAATAATTTTGAATATTGGTTGTAATTGAATACGACCGCATTGAGTCCTACTTTGAAATCGATTGGAATTGCCTTTTCGCACAGGAAACTGTCGAGACTAACAGAATAATAAAGTAAAGTTTGATAATGTAAGTAACTACTTTTTCAGCTATAACCTCCGTCATGAATCGTTATATCGTCATGATTGTTTGGACGCGTCACAACTTAAAGTGGATTCTAAATGTGATTTTGATAGGCTATTTAATATAAAAAAATCACTACTCACGTGGCGTCCTGGCAAACGGAGACAACGCTTCCGCTGATGGTGTTGATGTTTCCCTTGTCCTTAGTCTTCATATTTCTGTAAACGAAAATATTTATTGTATTACATTAAAAAAACCGAATAATAAAACAATTCAAACATTTAGAGTTGAGAAAATAAATGCAGTGAAAAGATGAATGATTACAGTACAAAACTATGTAACAATAATAAATCAATTTAAATTTAGTCTACCTTGCGCGACATGAATCCAACTTATAGGTTGACAAGAGAAAACGTACCGATACATCCAGTACGACTTTATTTTAAAAAATGCATTACTTTTTAAATAAGTTTCACAAAAACTGTCTCGAGCGAAGTAGGGATGAAATAAAGCAATAAATAAGTACGCAAACGTATCCTCAAAGAAAGCGAATATATCTGATATCACGTGTTCGTGGAACAGGTTAGTATCAACGTCATTACGGCATTCTGACCAGTTCTTCATAAAGCATCCCATCCGTTGCTAAACGGCAGCGAAGATCTCAGTTGACACCATCTTCTCCCGAAGACACGATCTTATTAATCGGACCCATTCATATATTTCATTTTCATTTCATCTTATTATCATATAGCAATTTCACAATTAGGCAATGTGGTGGATAAATGGGGTACACAAATTGGGAAATTTCTATAAATATCTTAACTGGGGCCCCGAATATTTTTATTTTATCACTTCGACACTATATCAACATATTAAATAGACATTATAATGATATGATGATCAAATAACTCCATAATTATATCAATCTTACTTCCTTCATTCAAAATTCAAAATGTCCACAAAAACAATTCTTTAATCGCACAGCACAGTTCAATACAGTCAATAAAATTTCTTGAAGCATAACGCCAAAGTAATAAAAATCTGAACCGCTATAATTTCAGTTATTTCACAACAAACGATAAATTCTTTTCAATTTACAATATCTACCGCTTACCGGCCTATGAATAAGTAAATACATGACTATTGCATATTACATACGGCTCTAGGCGGCGAGTTTAACGTTGCATTAAGAAATACGAGTTCAACTTAGAAGAAAATAGAAGCTCTTCATGGTCTATGAGTCTGTGGTAGATTCCGTAGGCATATTTTTTCTAAAATGTTATCGATTTATAAGCACACGACGAGTTACAGATTGAGATGGTTTAAATTTATTTGTTGTCCTACGCAAATTTCGCAAATGAAACGTTGTATGATATGAGAGCTGTAGCGCACCATATACTACTTTCACTTCTTAAAGGCTTAAAGATACTGATTCAAGATCTAACAACTATAAAGCTTAATGCTTCGTAAAATATAATTGATCTAAAACCTTATCTGTTACAAGGAGTTGTAAATCACTATGAAAAGTAACTCGCTTAAAAATAATTACAAAATAAATAGATAGAAGTAGAGACGTGTGTGACAGTCATCAAAACAATAGGTCACAGAATGAATTTATCTAATCATGTTAGCAAACCAAGATGTAAATGCAAATGGCAAAATATCGTTCACGTTAACGGTATCGCCGTTCAAAGGTGGAGGCATTTATTCAATTCACTTCAGTGGTTGTCTTCCGGCTAATGATGATAATAACAATGAACACAAGACATTTATTACACACACACAGCACTACTATTCTTATCTTTCCACGTCCTAGTAATGTAAACAATATGTGCCGGCTGTGTATACAACCTTACCTAGAAGCTACTTTGCTCACCGGTTCAGGGCCATGCAGCAGTCTCGGCTGTTACATGAATGGGCAGGCTCGTCCGGGTAAGTACCATGACCTCACAGAAGACTGGCGTAAAGTGGAAGTATAATACTTTCGCGTTTCGTCTGGTAGCCGGAACCCAATTTTCAAAAGGCTGTCAACGCATCTGTAACCCTCGGGTGTAGCAGATGTCCATGGGGGGCGGGATTCACTTACCATTAGGTGAACCGTCTGCTCGTTTGGAAACTTTTTACATAAAAAAACCGGTGCTCAATAGGTACCAAAAAATAACTAGCAATGACGACGTGAAACGACAGTTTCTGATAATCACGGAAACGTCGGAAAACTATGATGAGTAAGATGACAGTAAGTATCCTATTAAATTATGTAGGAAAAATATTACATTGGTGGTAATATCCCATAACTAAAACTAACACGTTGAACGGGGTAGTATCGTATGATGAATCTGTAACGGCAGATATAACGACAGAACATAAACAATTGGATAATATTGAAAAGGACTCAGATGGATTTAATAACAGAGATATAATCTAATATATAAAATTTTCGTGTCACCGTGTTTGTAATTGAACTCCTCCGAAACGGCTCGACCGATTTTTGTGAAATTTTGTGTGCATATCGGCCAGAGTGGAGAATCGGACAAAATCTATTTTTCATCCCCCTAAATGTTAAGGGCAGTCCATCCCAAACATTTTTTCTGCCCTACAAATTATTTATTAAATAAATCTTTCGGAGCAAGGTCGACAACTTTTTGTAAGAGATATTTTTTATTAAATATTTTATCAGAGACAATAAAACTGCATGGTTTTAGGATTACAAATAACCAATACGAATGTACCTTAATACTAATGATATTCGTGCTTAGATACAAATCAAACGAAGTAGATCAGTAGCAAGTATCAACCGGAATTTAGGAAGTAGCAGAGTTTGGTTCATTGATTAAAATTCAGTGTCGCATCGGACCTTCGTGCGCGGTACGTCGGGTGCCTCGTCCATTGTTAATAGAGATTCCTTTGTCATGCAAAGACGCAACTGCGCTTCCTGGTTTTGAGACAAACCTGTCACCGCTAGATCGCTATTGCACTATGACTGTACTGCCGCTAAATCTCCGAACTCTGAAAAATAACGCACTTTCAGGATTTCGACTGCTAACTCCAATTGAGTTCTAGAGCGTCTGGATACTCGGAACACACAAAATCCATACTGTGAAACCCTGGTAACGTCGTAAATTTTTCGACGTTTATCTTCAAAAAATCACTTTTTACTTTCCATCTTGATTGCAGAATGAAATAAAAATTATTATGCACTAAGTCTATGAAAATATCAAGATAGAGATAGAAGTCCAGTAGCCACCGCACCGCATAGCTGAGGCAATGTTTTAAGAGGTGTAGTTTTCGAAGACTAACAGTTTAAACCGCCAACGATGCTATTAAGTCCAATAAGATAACTTCTAGGTAAGTAAATACCTAGGAGAATACCTGGTGAAGCATGTATTTTTATGCATGAATTTGATTTATCATATTGAGACGAGGCAATAATAACCGCATTGGATCATAAGGTCTTGGTGTCAAATTGAATTTCTGTAACGATTTTAATCTACTTAATCAGATGATCCAATTTTTTCAAGCACCGCCGTTGGTTTTATTGCACACATAGATAAGAATACATCTTCAAATTATAAAAACCCTTACTTGAAAACTCCATATTCACTATAATATATAGAGTAAATGTACTATATATATTCGTATATTTTATATAAGCTCTATTGACACTGGTCACCTAATAACAAAAAACAGTGGATTTAAAGATCATCTGAGGAATGCTCGCCAAAGTTCGATTTTATAGTTTCTTCAACGGCACGAACAAAACCACATAATTATCAGACTGTTTTCTGCACAAGGACTTACTGGATGTTTGTTTGAAGTAAGCAATAATTATTTGTTTTGATTTATCAATATTATTAATTGTTCCCTTTACTTGGACGTAGGCCTTATAAAAGTATTTTATTTACTTCCAACAAAAAAACAGTTTGTACCTAGATGGTGCTATTATGATCAGAGTTCATTTATCAATACCATTGAGGCGCCAAACTGTTCAGAAACTGTCAAGTACTGTCAGTGCGGTGATGGTTACTAGAATTCGACCATGGTAAGCCACCTTATAAACACCTTATTACACCTTATAAAAATGTTACATAATATGACAAAGATAAGTTGTCTTATGGCACAAAGATAAAATTCGACTATCAACGGTTTCTATATCTCTAAAGGTAATAATAATAATTTATGGCAAGAAACTCGGATTCAATGAAATTCATAAATGGACATGTTGTAAATTATACCATATTTCATTAGGATGATATTAATGCATCATACGTTTAGGGAGAAATACAACTTCAATGTAAATGCCCCTAACATTTACCTTTTGTACTCCTTTATTGAGCCAAATTGGGACAAGGGGAAAGGCACTTTTTTTTCTAATTATCTCAGGCGGATCCCGCGTGTCCTGTGTGCGCTCGTGGGTATACATACAAACGAGGTTCGCCACTTGTTCTCCTTTCGTGTATCGCAGACAATATGTAATACATCTCAATAAAGCGGTCATCCACCCAGGCCAGAGCGACATCGCTTCCGATGATCATCCCAACCACTTAGATGTGACAGGGCTGAAGGCCTCTTTTTGTGAAGCAGCCCATCATGTCCCCTACACATTACTTAAATGAGTAATGAAAACAAATATGTCCAAATTAAACAGTGTAAATCGTTGAACTGACTTTTTTTTTTGAATTTTTTCATATTACAATATGAGAATAGATATCTTTATAACACGAACACGTCGTACTTTTATTATTCGCACTGCCTAAGATCACCACATCTCATTGAAGTGTTTAGTCGCGAACACTATTCTTATACAGCGTGTTCTTTCCTAAAAGGTCGGCAACGCGTCTACAAGCCCTTGGGTGTTGCAGATGTTCATGGGCGAAGGTGATCACTTACCACCAGGTGAGCATCCTGCTCGTGTGCCCCGTTTTTCCATAAAGAACCTACTTGCGATACTTATTGAAACGGACATTATTGACGTCGAGCCATAGCGACCGCGTAGGCGCAGCTCATAGAAGACCAAACAGCAGACCAAATAGCAGTTCATAGACAAAGCGGTAGTAGATTTTGTTTCATTAAAACAGATTGATAAATTCCATTACCACCAATATAAAATATAGAACATTAATTCTAAACTTAAAAGTAACGACTTCGAACAGTTCTCTGCAAATATTAACTTTCGAACATAAAAAATATGACGTCGGTTAATAAATGTATAATATTTTCC